AGCTCCTGGATTTATTGATCCTTTGAAATGATCTTTTAGTCTCTATTTATTATTTATTTGAGTCTTCTCCCTTTTTTTCTTGATGAGTCTTAGTGAGTAGGCTTGTTAATTTTATCTTTTCAAAGAACCAGCTCCTGGATTTATTGATCCTTTGAAATGATCTTTTAGTCTCTCTGTCATTCCATTCTTCTCTGACTTTGATTATTGCCTTCCTTCTACTTGCTCTGGGCTTTGTTTTTTTGTTGTTGCTCCAGTTCTTGAAGATGTAGGGTTAGGTTGTTTATTTGAAATGCTTCTCTCTTTTTTAGGTAAGCCTGTAGTGCTATGAACTTCTCTTTCAGGACTGCCTTCACTGTGTCCCATAGGTTTTGGATTGTAGTGTGTTCATTTTCATTTGTTTCCAGAAACTTTTTTATTTCTTCTTTGGTCTCAGTATTGACCCATTCATTGTTTAATAGCATGCTATTCAGTCTCCATGAGTTTGAATGTTTTTGAGTTTTTTCCTTGAGGTTGGTTTCTAGTTTCAAGCCCTTATGATCCGAGAAAATGTTTGTTATGATTTCAATTTTTCTGAATTTTTAAGACTTGTTTTGTGTCATATCATGTGGTCTATTTTTGAAAATGTTCCATGTGCATTAGAAAAGAATGTGTATTTTGCTTCTTTGGGATTAAATTGTCTATATCTATATCAGTTAAGTCCCTTTGATCTAATGTGTCATTCAGTTCCACAATATCCTTGTTGATATTTTGTTTGGAAGATCTATCCATTGTCTACAGTGTGGTGTTAAAATCCCCTACTATCAGTGTGTTGCTGTTTATATACTTCTTGAAGTCCTTCAAGATTTTCCTTATATATTTGGGTGCTCCTATGTTGGGTGCATATAGGTTTACAGTGTTTTTGTCTTCTTGTTGGATTCTTCCTTTGAGTATTATGAAATGTGCTTCTGGGTCTCTTTGTATGGCCTTTGTTTTGAAATCTATCTTTGTCTGATATAAGTATTGCTACCCCAGCTTTTTTATTTTCTGTCCATTTGTTTGGAGTATTTTTTTCCATCTCTTTACTTTCAATCTGTGCAGGTCCTTTTTTCTGAGGTGGGTCTCTTTTAGTGCAGGTCATGTTTTCTAATCCATTCAGCCACTCTATATCTCTTGATTGGAGCTTTTAATCCACTTACATTTAAGTTTATTATTGATAGGTATTTATTCATTTTTTCCCTTTGTACCTGTGGTCTTTTCTTTCTCACTCCTTTTCTTCTTCTTAAAGCAGTCCCTTTAGCATATCTTGCAATGCTGGTTTGGTGGAGGTATATTCTTTTAGCCTTCTTTTCTCTGGGAACCTTCCATTTTAATTGAGAGCCTTGCCAGGTAGAGTGGCCTTGGTTGCAGGCCTTTGCTTTTTATTACTTGGAATATTTATTGCCATTCCCTTCTGGCTTGCAGGGTTTCTGTTGAAAAGTCAGCTGCTAGCCATAACAGGCTTGTATGTCACTACTTGTTTCTCCCTTGCTGCCTTTAAGATTCTCTGTCTTTCATATTTGACATTTTAATGATGATGTGTCTTGGAGTGGGCCTCATTGGGTTCCTCTTGAATGGGACTCTCTGTGCTTTCTGGACTTGTGTGACTTTTTCTCTCCTCTAGTTAGGGAAGTTTTCCATCATGACTTTTTCAAACAGGTTCTCTATCCTTTCCTTCTCTTCATCTCCTTCTGGTAACTCTATTATATGGATATTATTACATTTCAGGTTGTCCTGCATTTCCCTCAATGCCTCTTCATTCTTTTTGAGTCTTTTTTCATTTTCTTGCTCTTCTGGGAGCTTTTTCTCTACCTTATCCTTCAGCTCACTGATCTGATCCTCTGCTTCATCTAGCCTGCTTTTGATTCCTTCTACTGTCTTCTTCAATTCAGAAACTGTATTATTCATGTCCTCTAGTGTCTTCTTGATAGTTTCTATGTCTTTTTCATGCTGATATAGTTTGCAGTAAGTTCCTCATAGTTTCCCTGTAGTTTTTGGTAATTCTCTCTGAGCTCACTGAGCTCATTGAGCTTCCTTAGAACTATTGTTTTGAACTCAATATCTGATAGTTTACTTGCTTCTATTTCACTGAGTTCTCTTTCTGGGGATTGCTCCTTTCCCTTCAAGTGGGGCATATTTCTTTGTCCTCCCATTATTTATGAGACTCTCCATTTTTGCTTCTGATTCTTAATTTGATTTGTCTTGACTTTCTGATTTTGTGGTGTGAACTTCTATGGTAGGAGACCTGTGAGATTCAGTGATGCAGTCTCCTTGATCTCCTGAACTTGCTGCTCTTTGGATGTGTTTTATACTGTTTATGTTGGCTCTCTGAAAGTAATTGGTGTTTTATTGTTGTTTGGTCATTCTTTGGTGGGTCTTACCCTCCAGCTGGTTGACTGAGTCTCACTCTGCCCACCCTGTCTTGTGTGTTTTTGTGCAGGGGCTGCCAGAACAGAACCACAAAGCCCAGGAAACAAACTCACATCTGCAAAAATAACTCTCCCCTGCAATCCCACTATCAATAGCAAATGAACCAGTATTAATAAGGCTGTAAAGAGATTAAGACTATTATAAGAAAGGAGAGAAATAAACTATCAGTATAAAATCTAATAACTTAACATGCACAAACTTCATGAACCCAAAATGGATGTTAAAAAGCTCTGTAGTAAAGAAAATATCACAAATCATGGAGAAGACCACAGTGGATTTCATCTCAGTAGCCTCTAGTATTTACCACTGTCTTTCCTTCCTAGATTGCCTCTGATGATGTCAGATGTTGACCCTGTCTGACCTTAGGCAGTCTGTTTGAGGCTTTCAGGAATCTACTTTCTGTGGCTGTCTACTTCAGTTGTTAATCTAGTCACTCTGCGTTCAGCAGTCAGGCTTAGGCACCACAGGGCCAGAGCAGAGTCCCTCCTGGGGGTGGGGCTATTGTTTTTTTCTCAGGCTGTTGCTGCTCAGTGGGGAGTGGTCTGCCTGAGCAAGATGGCTGCTGTCATATGGGAGATGAATCCGTACTGGGATCCTGCTGGCTACTCTCTCAGTCCTCTCCCTAAAGCCCCCTTCACCAGTCTCTTCTCAGGTGTCTCTAGCCCACTCTGCCCCTGCCTTTGCTGGAGCCCTGGGTAAGTGGCTGCAAACAAAAATCTATGTGTCAGCCCTTTAAATAGTTCTTTGCATCTCCAGCTGCCTGTCTCTGGCAGAGAGCAACCCTGCCACTTTTCACAGCTGGCTGTTATCTGTGTACTTTTTGGGCTCTGGTGCTGTAGGATGGGGGTCCCCCCTTATGGTTTAGACCCCACTCTTTTCAGGCGGATCCAACTGGCTATTTAAATATCCCTCTGGTGTTGCCACCTGTGGGTGCCCAGCCAGCCTTCTTGAGTCTCCACTACACTCCTTACCAGTCAGGTTGTGCTAAAGCTGATTCTTCTGTCTGTCTGAGGTTATAAGGCTTCCTTCTTGCCACTGTTCAGTTGTTTGTTCCAGGTGATTTTTCCACAATTTAGTTGTAATTCCAGATTGTCCTGGGAGGAGGTCAGTGTGACTTCCATTCACTCTTCTGCCATCTTGAAAACCTCCTGTATCCGGGTGCATTTTAAAAAAAACTTATCAAAATTGGTAAATTTTTGTGTAGCCATTTTAATATTGAAGATAGAAGAAAATACACAACATTTTTGACCTTTTGTGCTTTATTATTTCAAGAAAGGTAAAAACGCAACTGAAACACAAGAAAAGATTTGTGCGGTATATGGGGAAGGTACTATGACTGATCAAATGTGTCAAAAGTGGTTTGAGAAGTTTCATGCTGGAGATTTCTCCTTCGACGATGGTCCATGGTCAGGTAGACGAGTTGAAGGTGATAGCAATCAAATCAAGACATGGAGAATAATCAATGTTATACCATGTGGGAGTTAGCTAACATACTCAAAATAGTCAAATCAATCAAATTATTGGTGAAGATGAAAAAGGTGTCTTTATTTTATGGAAAAAAACTATACAGACATTTTGGCTAACCTAGTATTAGGTTTGCCCTGACCACACACCTAGTATTAGGTGTGGCTCAGTTGGTTGAGCATCATCCCAAAAAGTGAAAGGTTTTTGGTTCGATTCCTGGTTCAGGGCACATACCTTGGTTGTGGGTTTTGTCCAAGGTCATTACGCATAAGAGAGGCAACTGATTGATGTTTTTCTCTTGCATTAATGTTTCTCTCTCTCTCTCCCCCAACCTTCCCCTCTCTCTAAAAATAAATAAATAAACAAAATCTAAAAAAAAAACCCAAACAACAACAACAACAAAACAACCCAATACTAAACCCAATACTAAAAGTTTTGGCTTCCTTATGAGTTTGCTTCCATGCAGCTCCATAGAAGGAAGTGTAGATTTGGAGTGTGATGCAGGAACTATTGATATACCATATATATTTTTTACTTAAATGAAATCCTTGTTTTAAAAAACCTAAATGAGACTACATAGACCATTTGCTAGCCAGATTCCAAAGTGCTTTAGAAATCATACTGGTCTTTCATGCAGGTGATTTGAGGTTAGAGCATTTTTCCTGTTCTAGGAAGAATGGTGAACATGGCATTCAGGCAGGAAGTGTGAATTCACTGAGTACCTTTGGCACTATGACCTGGGAGCCCACATTCCAAACCTGGGTTAACTATTACTATGGCCAAGGACATCAGCTAGATGATGGTGCTAGGGGAAATGGAGAATGGAACAGTCTGCCTATCCTGATTCAGGTGGAGCTTGGTGAGCAACCAGGATACAATCGTAACCTCCTAGGGACCTTGACACAAATGTTTACTATGATTTCTCAGGAAATGGTTAGGAAATGTAATTTTGCTTATATGTACGCAAGAATTTGAGATTGCTCATGGGTCTAAGGTTAGAAACATTGGCAAATCCCATCCAAAGTGCTGACTTGGAGAAATCCACATTTAGAGGTCTAGGAGATACAATGAGACGCTGTGTTTTAAATTCTGGTCACATGTTCAGATTGTGATTATAAAACTGCTCAGGTTGGCCTAATAGAGCCCTGTGAGTAGCCCATCCTGTAGCTCCATGTGCTGAACCATACTGGGTCTTGTTCCCACAGAATGGGTCTGCTCCTACCCCTGGTGCTCTGCACCTTGGCTGCATGCTGCACAGCTAGATCTTTCCCCTTGCTGACCAACAGGCCCTTGTATTTCCTCCCCCGTGCCTGCAATGACTCAGATGTGCTGGCTACAGCGGACTCTGCCCTGCAGGACATCAACAAAGACCGAAAGGATGGCTATGTGCTAAGCCTCAACCGAGTACGTGATGTTCGAGAACACAGACAGGCAAGTAACAGTCCTCTATCTGGGTCAGGTGTTTGTATAAGCTGTGTAGCTTCGCTGGGGGTGCACACCCAGAGACATATGGCAGCAGGTGCTTTCCAAATTGGAAACCTGCTGAGAACTCTGTTCTCCTCTGCTAGGCTGTGCTACATATATGCTCCTACTCTTATAAGGAACAAGTGCTAATGGTGTGCTACTCTGACATTTGTCCACTGCCCCACAGTTTACAAGAAATCATTACAACCATGATAGCCTTTGGCTCTGCCATAAACCAGAGAATTTTTTGACCAGTCTTTAGGGGTTTCTGTTTCATGTGGGATGTGGTGCATTTTTTCACTTCTTCTCACAGGGTGGTCCGGGATCTGTGTTCTATCTCACATTGGATGTGTTAGAGACTGACTGCCATGTGCTCAGCAGGAAGGCGTGGAGGGACTGTAAAGTGAGGCTCCTTCATGAATCGGTAAGTGCTTATTTCCCATGAGCTCTAGGGGAGGAACTAAGTGCTCTCTATCAGCAGAGTGAAGATTGTTCCATGCATGCCATCTTTTAAATGTTTTTCTTTATAATCTCTTGGGCATGGTGCTCATGTGGTTATTCTGATTCTATTAGACAAAACAGTGGACTTTCTGAGTCCCATTGGGGTTATGACCCTAGAATTGAAAAGTTGTCCCCAAATTGTTTCCTGCTCTGCAGACCCTTCTGCAGGCTCCAAGCCTGGTGTTTAAATTGTGAGAAAAAGAGCTGAGCTCTAGGGCTCTGGATATGTGTTTAAGGAAGACTGTGGTAGCAGTAAAAGGAGAGCTTTTTTGTTTTATTTTGCTTTATTCTGTTTTAATGAACACTGATATGAAGTTTGAGGCTAGAGAAAGGAAGGGCTTACAGTATGGGAGATTTCAGAGATCCTGTGGAAGTATTTCCTGGAATCATAAAACCTAAAGGGGCTCAAAATTGGTCCTTTTAAAGATGACCATTGAGTTATTTTCATTAATTTATGTAACAACTTTGAATGCAAGGTTGTGTTTAGAAGTAAACTATTCAATCAAGATAACTTTTCCAATCATTTAATCAGACTTGTGAAACTGCACCTATCTGATTTTCAAGAGGAGTTTCTGAGAGTCCCACTTACCCTGCTGTGAATTATATTTGTTAAAGTGCCACATCCCCTTAAATTATATACTGATTCCAATATGATAGAAGTTTATTTCTTACTCATGTAAACTTCAAAATAGAAATTCCTAATCGAGAGGAGGCTTTCCTTCTAGGGTGACTTGGAGACCCAGGCGGCTTCCACGTTGTGGCTCTAGACTGCCACTGAATTCCTGGCTTCTGTAATCAATATGGTCATCTGCGTCAAGCTATGGAAAGAGAAAGGGCATGGGGGACAGATCACACAGGGGAGATCTTCATGGGCCAGTCCTGGAAGTGATTACAGCCAATTCTGCTCACTTTCTTGTGGTTAGAACTCAGTCATACTCACCTCTCGGGAGGGAGGCTGGGAAATGTAATTTAGCTGTGTCCCAGGAGAAGGTTAAATTGTTCAATGATCAGCTGGCAGTTTCTCACACCCAAAGCCACCAAAATTACATTAAGTTTTTCATTACTCAGAAAATAAAATGTCCAATTTCACTTGGGGGGTATTTAAAAAGTTACAGCTTATTCTATGAAGTCATAAAATATGTTTGTTGGTTCCAGGTTTATGGTGAATGCAAAGTAATATTTTACATTAACTATCCAAAAAGAGTTCTCTATTTACCTGCTTATAACTGTACTCTTCGCCCAGGTAAGTGAACATTCTGGGTTTAAAAAAAATTTTTTTATTTTAATGGTAGATGGAAAAATAGAATTAAACAAGACTATGCCCATAATGTATAGGGTTCTTCTATCCTTATTTCCTATTCATACCAAGGCCAGGTTCTTAATCTATCCAATACTTGCCTCTCTTGTGAAGTTCACCTTAAACTGCTCTTTTCCTGTAATTAGTCTTCCTAAATCATCTGCAATAATTTATTCATGAGTACTGCATTAAATCCTAAATTTTCAGTCTGACATAAATGGCATCATCTCTACCCTGGTCCCCAGGTGGCCTTTCTAGGTATCTCTGATATTATTTCCCTGACTACATCAGCTCTGCACTTCATTCACCTGCATACCTCTCTATTTTCTGAATACATATTGCACTTTACAATCTCTGCATCTTGCTTGTGCCTTTCCCTCTGCTGACGATGCCCTCCCCTGATACCTCCTAGTCTTGGAACTCATATCTATTCTTTAAGGATCATTGTCAATGATGCTTCTTCCACAATGTTCTCTATTCAGGAAATGAACAAGCTCTCCTGTTCTCATTTCTATAAAACTTGAAGCTAACCACTCATGGAGCACAGACTATGTACTGCCTTGATTTTAAGTCTTCTATCTTGTTTCATGTAGAATATTTTATGCCTTCTTTTTTCCAGCTCCAACCCTCCCCCAGTTTCTTTCAAGTAAAAGGAGTCCATAAAATTGTTGAATAAGTGAGTAACTGGACTAAGAATGAGGCTGAAATAAGGACATTTCAAATATGCACGTGCATTCATTCTGGGTCTTTCTTTGGAAAGCAAGTATCCAATGCACAGGAAAATTGGATGTGGCTAGTTGTGTAACTCTTGCGTGCATGTGACTCCCCTGATGGATCTTGTACAATTACAGACTCTAATTCCACAGGTCTGTGGCAGGGCCTGAGAGTCTGCCTTTCTAACAAGCTCCTTTCTAACAAGCTGGTTCCTTTGAGGGATAAGGCAACAGAGCAAATATTTTATTAGCCACAGGTTAAGCTTCCTGGTTATGAAAAGACTTACTTAAGTTAGAGAACAACAACTCATAAAACAGATTAGGACTCAGAAGTCACACATACCAGATGTATGGGAGGTCAGAAAGTAACATGTGGGGATTGTGCTAGGAGTGATAAGCTGTGGATGTCATTTCACATAGCACGCCCAAATACACTCAAATAAACAGACAACTGATCAGTTGTCTTGCTCTGCAATAACAACTTGCAGACAAGTTCCTAGCTTGACTTTCACATTAGTTTTGCCACCCCAGTTCCTCCTAGTTAGGAGACCCTGAGTTTGGTAGACACTACCATTAGAATGATTATTCTATCCAGTCATACAGTGATTTGGCTAATTTTTGTTTTCTGGCTCACTTACATTTTCTAACCAGAGAGAGTGTGCTTCTACCTTTCATATGTCATTCACTCATTCATTCATTCAACAAGCATTTACTAAACACATTGTCTTACGTGTTGGGGACTAAAACATGAATAAGACATATCAATAATAAAATCCCAATCATTTAAGACACTCAGCTGCTTTACAGAGGCAATAATGATAGAAGATATTGAGTTATTAATAGGACAAAATTTTTTTATATCAATATAAACACATATATGTTTTTGACCAAAATTCTTAGCATAATTTTTGTAAGGTGAAAAAAAATTTCTGTTGATTTTTTAAATAAATTAGGAAAAAAATACATGCTAATTGCAGAAAACACTGCTGACAACTAAGTTTCATTCCAGATAATGTCTTTTCACTCCACCCTTGACAAAACTGAGTTTTTTTTAAATGTCTGCTTCTATTGTGGTCATGTGCTTTGTAGGCTTAAAAATTATTATGGCGCTTTATTTTTAAACTGCTCTTTTTGGCATCAATAGTTGCTCGCAGAAAGATTGGCTTTATGTGTCCTGACTGCCCGAGCCCCACTGACTTGTCAAATCCCAGAGTTCTGAAAGCTGTCCATGAGTCTCTTGCAAAATTCAACAACGAGAGCACCTCGAAGCAGTATTCTTTCGTCAAAGTCACCAGGGCTTCTAGCCAGGTGAGGCTGAAATGTCCAGTTACAACAGCAATGTGTTTCATGACTGTTACTATTGATTTCTAAACTGAGAGGAGGATGTTTAGGTATGTCTTTTGATTGGAACCAAAGAGCCTTTCTTCACTCCTTAATTTGGTAGAGCTGATGCACATTGAATTGTGTCTCAGTTTCTGAGTTATTCTTTGGAATTCCCACAATAGTTGTGGGATTTGATTTTACCTCATTGTCTTTACAGCAAAAATGGAAAGGGACTCATAATCTCCTTGGGTTATTCACCTCAGTTCACTATTTACTGCTATATTTTCATATCTGATTGACCATGCATCTCATTTAGGAAGTCAACTTCTGCTCCGTATTAAGGACTGAAGTGGATGTTGAGTTTTACGGGTTAGGGGAAATGAAGGCTCATTTATTTTTGAATTACGTTGCTATCTATCATATAAAGAAAAACTAACCTAAAAACAAATTTGGTTGAAGAAAAATAAGCTCACCCAAGGGAGCCCATTCAAACAATTAAGAAGGAAAGAAAGGTATGCTGATTATATTTTCTAAATGACAAAATCATAATACATGGTTTGATCATGGTAGGAATTACAGGGACAACGGGAGACCTGCAATGACAATGACTATGGTTTCTGTAAAGGTAAATGCTGCCAAACCTTGGTTATTTCTCTACATGGAGAGGTCTTATTTTTGTTTCTCAACTTTTGTCTCATATCAGTGGGTAGTTGGCCCCGCGAACTTTGTGGAATATTTAATCAAAGAATCACCATGTACCAAATCCCAGGCCAGCAGCTGTGCACTTCAGCCCCTTGACTCTGAGGTGAGAATTCCTGAATGTCTTCATAATTCAAGATTTGTGTTCAAATCATCTATATGTACTTATTGAACAGAAATTACATGTGAGCTGTTGTAATGCATGAGAAATTTTCTTCCCCTCAAGGATTGTGCTGGCCCAGATGTACTAGTATTTGTTTGTAAGTGCAGTTTTCATCAGTAATGCCTTTGCAGAAAATGATCCATAGAGGCTATAAAATATATAAACAAATTTCCTCAGTGGTTGGTGATGGTCCTGCTTTTATCTAAACAAATCCAGTTACATTTGGAATACAGCATGGTGTTTCATTCCTTGGACAACCCTTTAAGAAGAACTAAGACAAACAGGGCATCTTTGAAAGAATGCATCCAAAGTGCGGAGGGTGCCTTGAAACCACCTCACACACCCGGTGCGAATGCCAGTTGGCACAATGTGTTGTAACACAACTGGGAAAAATGCATCACAATTCTTTCCTCCCCTCATTTACTTATTTATAATGACCACTTCAGTAAGACATAATTCACACACCATAAAATTCACCTTTTTAAGGTATAAAATTAAGTGGCTTTTTAGTATATTATCAGAGTTGTGCCACGACTATCGGTATCTAATTTTACAATACTTCATCAGCCCCTAAAAAGAACCCCATACTCATTAGCAGTCATTCTACTGGCCTCTTACACAAGCCCCTGGGCACTAGTTCTCTATGTCTTTTCATTTGTTTATAACTTAATTTCTTTCAATAATGTTTTCTAGTTTTAGTGTACAAGACTTTCATTTACTTGTACCTCCTAAATATTTCTTTGATGCTATTATAATCCATTTGTCTTTTTAATTTTATTTTTGGATTGTTCATGGTAAGTTTATAGAAATACAGTTAATTTTTATATATTGGCCTGTATTGTGTAAACTGTCTGAACTTAGTTATTAGTTCTAACAGTTCTCCAGTACATTCCTTAGGATTTTCTGTATACAAGGTCATGTCATCTGCAAATAGTTTACCTCTTCCTTTCCAATCTGTCTCCATTTATTTACCTACCTACCTAATATTCCTGGATAGGCCTTTCAGTGCAATGTTAAAGAGAGGTGAGGAGAACAGACATCCTTATCTTATTCCTGATTTTAAGGAGAAAGCACTCAGTATTTTTATCATTTAACCTGGTGTTAACTGTAGGTTTTTCACAGATGCCCTTTATAAAGTTGAGAAAGTTCCCTTCTATTGTTAGTTTGTTGATTTTTTTTAAAATCAAGAAAGAGTGTTAGAGTTTGTTAAGTACAATTATTGACTTTTGTATGTTAAAACAATCTTGCACTTTGGGGAGAAATCCCAACTGATTGTAGTGTCTAGTCTTTTTTACATGTTGCTGAATTTCTTTTAAAAGAGTTTTTTTTTAAAGAGTTTTTTTAAAAAAAACTCTTTTTAAAAATACTTTTAAAAGAGTATTTTTTTAAAAGAGTTTTCCACTATATTCAGAAGAGATATTGACCTATAGTTTTCTTGTGTTGTCCCTGGCTGATTTTCATATGCATTTAATATTGGCCTCATAGGATGAATTGGGAAATTTCTGTTCCTCTTCTATATTATTTTAGAGGAGTTTGTGAGGGACTCGATGTTCCTTCTTCTTTAAATGTTTGGTAGAATTCACCAATGGAGTCACCTGGGTCTGGGCTCTTCTTTGTAGGAAGTTTTCTTGATTAATATTTTAATCTCTCATTATGTGTATTCAGTTTTTATTTCTTCTTCAGTGATTTTTGGCAGCTTGTGTCTTTCCAGAAATTTGTCCATTTCATCTAAGTTATCTAATTTGCCAGCACACAGTTATTCATAGTGTTCCCTTTTTATTGAATATTGCTGAGAGATTAGAAGTAATGTCCCTTCTTTAATTCTAATTTTAGTATTTTGAGTCATTTTTTTCTAGGACAATCTAATTAGAGCTTGGTTAATTTTATTGCTCTTTTCAAAGAACTACCTTTTGGTTTTGTTTATTTTCTTTGTTCTTTTTTTTCTCTCTGCTCTTCATTTCTGCCTTTCTTAGGCTTGCTTTGGGCTTAGTTTGCTCTTCTTTTTCTTATTCTGTAAGGTAGAGGTTAGGTTATTGATTTGCAATCTTTTTTCTTGTCAACAATTTGTAGACCATAACTGTTGCGGGACAGGAACTGGGCGTAGGGTTGTTCTGCCTTGGGCAGTCCTGTAGGATGTGAGTTCCTGGCTTTGTGCAGGAAAGACTTCACAACATGAGTTCAAATGATTTTGAGAGTACACCAGTCCAGGTGATTTTAAGGGTACATTTATTAGCTGGGGACAGTGAAACAAGGAAGGGCTTAGGATGGAAGAAGCAACTTACTAAACTAATGAACAAAACAGAAGGAGAAGCCCAGATACATGGAACAGACTGACAGTTGTTGCAGGGGAGATGAGGCCGGGGGTCGGGGACTGGATTAAAGAAGGTGAAAGGATTAGCGAAGAACCTAAGTGCAGGATCCATATATACACACACACACACAGTGATACAGGGATTTCCTGAGGGAAGAGGGTGGGGGCTGGGTGGAGGTGGGCTCGGGGAGGGAAGACAGAGACAAATCTAATAGCGTAGACAATAAAAAGACAATTTTTAAAAATTTCAAATAAAAGAAAAACTTCATTACGTACGTGCACTCCTTGAAGAGAGAGGGAGAGAAAAAAAAGAAGCAACAGGAGAGAGCCTAAGCAGGACTGCTTTGGCTCTCTAGTAATGTTTTAAGAAAGAAGTGAGCCAAGGAGGATCTGCTTTGGCCCACTGGGATGTCAGAGAAAAAGGTCCTAGGAGACAGGTTCAGGGGGTTGGCCTGGCACGAGCTGCATCTGCCCATTGCTCCCTTGATTGCAAATCTCATGGGACCCTTAGAATTTAGGAGATACATGTACACCTGTGGGGGAAGAAAGGCAGGGGTATGCTCTTGAGAGGGAGAGTGCTGATTTGTAATCTCTTCTCTTTTTAACATAAGCATTTACATCTATAAATTTTCTTCTGAGCAATTCTTTAGCTGCACCTCAGTAAGTGGTACATATTGTGTCTTTGTTCCCATACATCTCAAAGTATTTTCCAATTTTCCTTGTGATATCTTCTTTGACCTACTGGCTTTCTATGAGTATATTACTTAATTTCCACATATTTGTGAAATTCCCCAATTTTCTCCCACTCTTCTATTTCTAAAATCATTTCATTGTGGTTAGAGAATGTACTTTGAATGATCTCAATGCTTACATTTATTAAAGTTTATTTTATAGTCTAACATAAGATAGATACCTTGGTGAATGTTTTGTGTGCATGAGAAGAATGTGTATGCTGCTGCTGTTAGGTGAAGCACTAAGTGGTTGTCAGGTTCATTTGATTTAGAGTGTGGTGCAAGACTTCTGTTTCTTTGTTATAGTGTTCTGCATAGTTGTTATATCCATTATTGAAAATGAGGTTTCCACCTATTATTGTTGAATTTTCTATACCTTCCTTGAATTCTGTCAGCTTAGTTTACTAACATAATTTGTGTTCTGTTGTTAGTTCATATATATGTATAGGTGTTGTAATTGACCCTTTTATCCTTATAAAATGTTTTTCCTTGCTGTGGTTGGGTGGCTTAATTGGTTGGGCCATTGTTCCATACATCAAAAAGTTGCAGATTTAATCCTCAGTGAGGACACCTACCTAGTTTGTGGGTTTGACCCTGGTCAGGGTGCGTACAGGGGGCAGATGATTGATATTCTTCTCTCTCATTGATGTTTCCCTCTCTCTCTCCCCCTGCCTCCCACTCTCCTATAATCAATAAACATATCCTCAGATGAGGAATTAAAAAATGTTTTTTCTTCTCCCTAGTAACAATGTTTGTCTTAAAATCAATTTTGTCTAATATTTGTATAGCCATTCCAGCCCTCTTTTTATTAATGTTTACATTGTAATTTTTTCCATCTCTTTGCTTTCAACCTATGTATGTCTTTGGACATAAAGTGTGTCCATCAAAGAGTTTTGTAACCAGTCAATTGAATAGTCTCAATTTTTTCAGGGAATAATTGGGAAAACATCTTCATCCTATTCTGCAGGGTCTTTCTTTCTCATTTGTCAATGACATCTTGGGCACATCCCTTAGCTTTCTGGTTATTTTCAGCAAGAGAAACAATTCCACTTAGATAATTAAGGTACACTCTCAGGTATGAAAAAATTCTGTTCAGTCAATTCTGAAACAAAATTCTTACCTTATATTCAATGCAAAGCTTTCCATTTCTGTAGCTCAAGCCTGACCCAGAGCTTAAGACCTGATGTGAGGAAGGGATCAAGGTCTGTTCTTTCATCCTCTCTACCTCTCCTGCAAACTTTGGCTTAATTCTGAATCTTCCAAGTGGTAAGAAGAATGAGAGGGGATTAGAGAAAAGAATACAGTCTTTTCCCATAACTAAACCTGCAGTTGTAGTTTTCTCTTGGTCTACAGCAGTCCTCTCTGAAACAAGCTTTAGTGCTGGTTCTCTCAGGTGGTACAGGCATGAGTCCCTCCAGAGGTCTTTTCCTGGTAGGATGATGTGGTCCCCAGCTGATTCCCTGGAACCACCCTTTCTCAGATTCAGTCTCCACATATTTTTACTATTAAATGCTTTGTATCTGAAAGTCCCTTTGTGTGGGCACATTCAAAAGAATACTACCTATGACATTCGCTTGTCCCATGGAACCCTTACACATTTGTACTATGCAAGACGGTAGAGACAGGCTTCCTTTGCTGCCTTTTCTCCTTCCTATAATAGGCCATTTCATCCAAGATCCTGCTCTTAGAATGCTCTGAGAGAAAAAGCACATCCAACCTCCACAGCCCATATGCCCATAAAACCTAGGATTCACATGTCAAGCATGCCCTCTACTCCCTTTTTGTGGTCCACTCTAGTTTCAGCACCAGGTAGGCCTATGAATTATGGTAGCTCAGCAAATCCTAGCCTGAGTAGGAGGGGCCAGGCTCTGCTTGGTACCAGGACCTGCAGCTTCTCCCGAAGGTTCTCCGAGAGTCCTTTCCCTGGGTGATTTGGTGATGAAGAGAAGGGAAAGACTGAAGCACCAACCCCAAGAATTTCCTACATTAGTGAATTTTTCCCACTTTCAAAAGTGTCTCATTTTCTCTTCATATAAAAGTCTGGAGATACGTGATAGAATAATATTCAGGCAATATGTTTAGACACATTTTAATAAATTCTATGTGAATACTGTATTCTTAAAATTTTTCAAAATTGAGGCAATATTTTATCATAATACTCTATTTACACTAAAAAATGTATGTACTCTAAGACTTTAAAATTTCTCTTCAAATAATTTACCCTAAGGAGTTAACTGGGGATATATGAAAAGATATAACTTAATGTTTAAACAAAACAAATGAGATGCAATCTAGCATCTAAAATAAGAGAACTTGTTAAATAACACAGAATGATATTAGGTAGCCATTGTACAGATCATAGAAGACTATTCAGTGACATAAAAGGATTTTTACAATATACTGTTAGATGAAAAAAGAGAGTTATAAAATAATATATATAGTGTAATTCTATTTCTTAAAAGAAGAAATATATATGCATAGGAAAAAAAGATTAGAAGAAAACAAATAATTGCAGAAAAGTTGTACCTTCCATGTAACTACAGGTCTTTTTTATTTTTTTTCTGTTTATACATATTCTAAATAACTATTACATTCATAACAATAAAACAAAATTATTTTATTTTTAAAGAAAGAGAAGTTGAAGGAGCTGAGAGTAGTATTGTCTGATAAAAGTAAACTCAGGTGGACTGTACGTAAAGGGCTGCTATACATGAGAGTTGAGAACAAGTTTTTTAATTGACCCAAGAAAAGAAGTAAGGCAAAAGGTAGATACATTCTATAGCAACAAAATTTCATTCCGTACAAAGAATTTTCTAATAGAGTCTGTTGCTCAAAAAGTCCTGAGTTTCCCATTAATGGAGGCAAATTAGTCTTGTTCGGGTGGTTACTTATAGGAGTAACCTAGAGAGAATTGGCTCAGAGCCTGCCTCTTGCATGGTAGTAGCATAAAAATGTTGCCTGGCTGTGTGTCCACAGAAGCAAAAAAACAAGCTGATTTCTGTTTATGATCATTGATAATTGTAAAACTCAAACAACATTGTATCTTCTCTCCTTTTTTTTTTTTTTTTTTTTTTTTTAGCCTGTTGGTCTTTGCCAAGGTTCACTGACTGAAAGTGCCTTAAAGAAGTATGTCTCCGTGACTTGTGTCTTCTTTGAATCACAGGTACTTTTTATTTTCATTATTTGCCTTCCTGGGGTTGCAGGGAAGGTTATCTATATTTTAGCAGATTATCTATAATTTAGCTGTCCCTACCCCAACCTCTCCTTTTATTTCCCTGAGATCAATGATCACCACTTTATTCAGGTTGCCCTGAGTTCATACGCATAGGATAGTTGGTTAAAAACTTGTCACTCTTTATTTTAGTTGTAATATGCTCCTGCAGAATAAATAAAACTCCCTCAGAAGTAGGGACTAGTAGCTTTGATGGCTTAGTCCTATGAGACATTAAATTCAGTGTCCTAAAGACCCTAATATTGAACTGTAAGAAGTTATTTCCATGGAAATATCCAGTCCCTTTCTAGAAGTATTTATTGAGCACTTACTATGAGGCAGCTTGGTATATTTGAAAGGGTGGTTGAGACAGACCACCTGGGTTCCAGTCCTGCTCTGCTACCTGTGAGCTATGTGATTTGAGCAAATACCTTTCTGAATCATGGTTGCCTCATAGATGAATGGGATCATAGTGCCTACCTCATTTAGTTCTCTGTGAGAAGCAAGTGAGAAGACCTGGATAAGGATACTGTATTGGACCTGGCACAGAATAAACAATTAGTAAAAGGTGGCTGTTGCTGCCACTGCTAGGAGCATGGAGCTGGCTCACTGGGGACTTTGAATAAGCCATTTACTTTCTTTGGATCATGGCTCCGTTTCAGATTTGTGAGACTTGCAATCAAGCTTCTACACGCCTTGGTCCCCCCTGGCCCTTACCTGTTTTGCTTCATAACCCTTTAACCAGAGGCCCACCCCTCTAGCTGGTCTCCCTTTGAAACACCCCATTGGAAAGGCACAGGAAGCCTTAGCCTGGTACCAGGCACAGCAGAGATTTCCTTGGCGGACATCCCCCTTATTGAAAGTGTTCTTATTTCAGGCTCCCACCACTCGGGGCGAGACTTCTACTGCTAGCCAGGGACCTGAGAACTTCCCCAAGGTGGAAAAGGCCCAGGAGAAAAATGCAGAACCCACTCTCTCACCCTCCAGAGCTGTGCCACGAGGGTCTGTCCAGTACCTTCCTGAACTGGATGATGAGGAGCCTGAAGATCCCCAGGCCAATGGGACTGCTGAGGCCTTCCCTGTGCAGCTGGATCTAACCACGAATCCCCAGGGAGAAACTCTCAATGTCTCCTTCCTCTTCCTGGACCCTATGAGTGAGAATCCGGTTGTCCTGCCTTTCCCCAAAAAAGAACATCACTCTGCTGCGTGTCCAGGACCGGCCCAACAGGCCAACCCGCTTGTTCTCCCACCATGAGAACCACATAGAGAGTTCCGTGCAGATGCGGCACCGTGCAGGAGATGAAAGGTAGTACAGAGGGGAGACAGAGAGACAAAGGGTTTGAACATAGACAGTGGCTAATAAAGTGTGTCTTTTTGACTCTTCTCGGTCTCATCCTTTTGGCTGGAAGTGGAAATGAGACTAAAGCCTCCACTTGTACACTGAGCTGCATTCCTCCTAAACCATCCAAGATATCATTCTGTGGATAGATGCTTTTTATGTATTCCACCTTTCCCTTTGTAATGATTATGGACTTTTACCTAAGTGTCTCTGATGTAGGACCTGCCATACTTAGGAATTCCCTCCTTTTGGGGAAAGAGCATACTGCGATTCTTTGGATCAAAATGAGGTGACAATTGAAGGATTCCCAGAGACTGAGTTTCATCACAGAATTTCACGCTCTCTTTATTTCATAATTAGTTTAACATCAACTATTGGTCAGATATTGTCTGCACAGCCTTCAGCCTGAAGGTGGAATTTTTTTTCCTTACCTGTCTGAATAGTCTCCAAGCCCAAAACTCAGTGAAGTCACTTAGCAATGGCGTATATGGGAGAGACAGTAGCCTGTGGCTTGTGGTTGGGCCTGGGGAGAACCAGATATCGCTCCAAGTTTGGGAGCTCTCTGACTTATTTAATAGTTTTGCTCAGAGAAGAAATTAAGAGACCAGAAAACATTCACTCCCAATTTTTTCACTTAAAAAAGAAAACAAATATATATGTCTATAACATGTAATATTATATACATGTACCTATAACATGTAATATTATATACATGTATATTTTGTTTACCTACATACAGACACACAAATATATGTAATATGTAGAGATATGCACACACATATATCTTTTGAACTATGAGAGGTGTTATGGGCTGAACTGTGACCTCTAAAATTCATATACTGAAATCCTAACCCTCGATACCTCAGAATGTGACTGTAATTGGATATGAAATCTTTAAAGAGGTAATTAAGTAAAATGAAGTCATTAGAGAGGAACCTAATCCAATATAACTGGCGTATTTATAAGGAGAGGTGATTAGGACATAGAGGAGCACAGAGGGAAGACCATGTGGGGACACAGAGAGAAGGTGGCCATCTACAAGCTGAGGAGAGAAGCCTCAGAAGAAACCAACCCTGTGACACCTTGGTTTCAAACTTGTAACCTCTGGCATTGTGAGAAAATTAATTTCTGTTGTTTGGGCCACCCCATTTGTAGTACTTTTTTATGGCAGCCCTAGCAAAATAATACAACAGGGAATTTGCAGATATGACTATTGTCCTCTGTTCTGGCAGATGTTTCTTAGAAGAGGCACAGAAGCTTTGGCATAATTTGCTTAAGAGCAGTAGGCGATATTCACACTCAATTACTCTTCTCTGCTTCCTATAAGAAGGAAAAATAAGAGGGTGTCAGGTGGAGTTTTAAACCCTGTTTATTTCTTTTCAGACACTGTTTCAATCAGTGTCTGAAAAGAAATAAAATTTTTCTCAGATAATTGAACTGAAGAAACCTCCACAAAGGGAATGAAACCTTATGGGACAAGTTAAGGGAACAACAAGGGATGCTGAGACACCTGCAAAAGAGCAACAGTGGGAGGCCTTGGTCACTCTAGGCCTGAGAAAGCTGGAGGCAGTGTGGCCCTCCCCAAGCCCAGGGGGAGCTGCAGCTGTTGGAGGAGGGGCCCCTGGCAGGAACAGCCCTGGAAAGGGAGGGAACCACCGTCAAAACCTACTGCTGAAGTGGGCAAGAGCAGGGAACAAACACCCTGACCTCTGCCTCTTCCCTCTGATATCCTCCTTCCATTGGATTTTTGACCGCAATAGTCAACGAGTCTGCAGGGGAGCCTGGGCCACTCAATCCACAGGAGTCAGCCTCCTGCAAAGACAAAGAATGGACCTGGGGGCAAGCAGAGGAAAACTGCTGCCGGCCCTACACAGAATTTCCCAAAGGCGTACTATAATCCTCTTGCGTGCTTTTTTTCAGTAAAAATGGATGTGCAAGGACCCTGGACTTTGTGTCCCTCCCTTTGTGCCCCTCGTTGGATGGATGAGGGCACCATCAACAGAGAGGATGCAGGAAAAGTAGGTTTGACTGAGGAGTTGCTGAGATGACTTTCTTAAATTCACGGGGAGCATTATTGCTGACACCCTCTTTCAATCATCTGACAATGCTGACTTTGCTCTTTCTTTAAATTTTCTCAAGTAGCCTTTGTCCTATGTCCTCCAGGTCCTCCTCCTTCCCTTCTGACAACTTCTCCTAAGGCATTTAGATTCCTCTTTGGCTCATCTCTTAGATGCTGTCTCTCTAGTTTTTGATTCTTGATCTTTTTTTTTTTATTCTGCAAACTTCATGCAGGCAGGCCATTCCAATAGTCTCGTCAATAGTCCCAAAATGCTGCAATCAATTATTCAAGGCCCTTGTATTTAAATAATCAGTGCTTTGCAAATTGCTGATTTAATCTTCTATGCTAGAACTTCAAGATTTGGGCATTTCTTGTTATGTGGTATTAAGAGTTCTTTCTGATGAATCTTTAAAAGTAACTTCTTTAGCAATAAGAAAATGAGTGACTCAATTAAAAATGAGCAAAAAATTTAAAAAGATGCCTCATAAAAAAAGATGTATGAAGGCAAATAAACATAGAAAAAGATGCTCAATATCATATGTTATTAGGGAGTTGAAAATTAAAACAATGATGAGATACCATTATTAATCTATTAGAATGGGCAAAATCTGGAACACTAACAACACCAAATGATGGCCAGAATGTAGAGCAACAGAAACTCATTCATTGTTGTTGGGAATGCAGAATGGTACAGCCACTATGAAAGACAACTTGGCAGTTCTTACAAAACTAAACATACTCTTTCCATACAATCCAGCAATTGTGCTTCTTAATATTTATCCAGATGAGTTTAAAAGTTATGTCCACATAATAACTTGAACATGGATGTTTATGGCAGCTCTGCTAATAATTCCAAAACTTGGAAGCAACCTAAATGCCTTTCAGAAGTTGAATGGATAAACTGTGGTACATACAGGCAATGGAATATTATTCAGTGCTTAAAAGAAATGAGCTATGAAGTCATGAAAAGTTATGAAAGAAACTTAAAGGCATATTATTAGTGAAAGAATCAAATTTGAAAAGGTGACTTATCCTACAATTTCAACAACATGATATTTTGGAAAAGGCAAAACTACAGAAACATAAAAAAGACCAGTGGGTTGGTGGTAGAGGAGTATAAATAGGCAGAGCACAGAGTATTTTAGGGAAGCGGGACAGTTGTGTGACACTATAGTGGTGGATACAGGACATTACACATTTGTCTGAACCCACAGAATATACGACATCAAGAATGAGTCTTTATATTAACTATGGGCATTGGGTGATAATGATGTCAATGTAGGCTCATTAATAATAAGAAAATATACCACTCTAGTAAGAATATTGATAGTGGAGAAGCCTGTATGGGGAGACTGAGCAGGGAGTATATTGAAATCTTTTTTATTAAGTGCCTTTACAAAAAGCTGGATATTATAAAATTCTGTAAGTCTATTCAGTGATCCCCAAAGAAACCAGAAATTTGTAAGGATGTACATATTAGCATTATTTATAAGAATAAGAACAAATAATTGGAAACAACATACATGGCCCAATATTAACATATTATAAGCATATATGACATACAACATGATCTTTGAAAATAATCTTTCTGAATAATATTTAATGATTTGGGAAGGTCCTCATGGTATAGCCTTAAGGGAAAATACAATGTTTAAACTATATATAACAAGAATTTGTTAAAAGCATTTTCTTTGGGAAAGGGATGGAAGAATGAGGGATAGGAGAGGAAGATTTAATTTTTACTTTACACATTCTGTAATATTCTGTGTTTTTTAACTTTGTGCAAAGTTATATTTATAACTGAAATTATATAATTAAAATAACTCAAATTTAAAAACTAAAATCTTATTTAAAAAAATCCCAAAACAACATTTATAAAGCTTATGTGGCTTCTAGCAATATCCGTCAAATAAAGGTTGTAAGTAAACATTCAGTCACAGTGAAGGAAAAAATACCTGTATATACAGAATAATCCCAATAATGTAAAACACATGCTATAGGTATTCAAATAGAAATGTCTATGACAAAATATATAATTGTTAAGGATTTTTCTCATAGTCATAGAATTAAAGGTAAGTTTTTCTTTATACTTTTTGTATTTTCCACATTCATGAAGCTTATATGGCTTCTAGTTCCCCTCAAAAATCAAGATTATAAGTAAACATGCAACCACAGTAGAGGGGAAAAAAAGCTTTAAAGAATAAAAATTGTGTTAATTGGCTTTTTCTGATCCTATAGTCAGGATATCCAGAAAGAATCTGAATGCCAGAATGAAGACGTGAAGGTGAAGATCTATCTACCCCCATCTTTCCTCATAACAGTCTTGTGAAAAGTCACCATTCCCATCTCCATTCCACATCTGAGGCCATTCCCTGGCTCAGGGCTGTCAGAAAGCTTTCCCAAAGCCAGTGAGAAGCTGCACCAAAGCTAAGTGTCAATTCCTAGATCAGACAGCTCCCCAGGACAGACCCTCTCTCCTACTCACCATCATTCTGTCTCCTCAATCGGCTCCCTGAGATGTCTCATCTGAAGCTACCCCAGTTACTGGAATGGCATTGCTAGCCTTGTTTCTCTATGTGGTATTCAATAAAGCAAGGAATTCAATCTCAAACACAATTCAAAAAGTGTTTCTTCCACTATTAGCACTCGCTAAACTAATCTATGGCTCTGGGAAGTGAAATCTGACTTTCATGTATCCTGCTCTTTCCCTCTAGCTCCTACCCAGGGCCCCAGTTCTCAAGCTTTACTGCACATTGGAATCATCTGGCAATTTAAAAACTACCAATATATGGGTCCACCCTCAGAGGTCCTGGTTTAATTGCCTTGGTGGAGAGGCCTGAACATGATTTTTCAAAGCTTCTCAGGTAGTTCTAGTATGAAGCCAAGGCTGAGAACTATTGCTGTCAACATTTACTGACACTCACCACAGAGAAGAAAGCAGGAGGGAGATGATGTTTGAGTGACTGGTAGTGGGAAGAGAACCTGGGCTGATTCCCTCTGGTCCTTTCTGATGCTGCTGGGTTCTCCTGCTATGAAAGGTCCATTCAGGTATATTGGTTTCTTTGGAGGAATAGGGCTGAGGGATCAGCTTAATCCCAGCTCTGTCCCCTGATGCTGAGCTCCTCCCCAGTGGTGTAGTCTCTCTAATCCCTTCTCTGGGATGCATAGGTATCAAAGGGCTTGACTTCTACCCTCATCATGGTTCTCTTCCATATGAATCAACATTTTTTGGCACACTTTAAAGGCCATGTAAAACTGGAAAGATATGGGGTGTCCCCTACCTCTTCTCAGGCATAATAACAACAACAAAAACAACAATAATAATAAATAGCATCATTTACTCAGCACCTGAATTTGTGCCAAGAATTGTATTGGTTACATTGTGTTTTCTTATTTAATTATCATACAATCCTGCCAAGAGGTATTAATCCCCATTTTATATATGAGGAAATTAAGACTCAAATTTCAGGAGGATCAAGATGGCGGAGGAGTGAGTGGAAGCCACACTGACTTTCTCCCAGGACCAACCTGGAATTACAACTAAATTGGGGAGAAATCACCTAGAACAAACTACTGAACAAGAGTGAGAGAGGAGCTTTGTAACCTCGGAGACAGAAGAATCGGCTTTAGTGCAATCTAACTTACTGGTAAGGAGAGAGGTACAGACATGATAAGGCGGGTGGAGTGCCCACAGGGCGGCAGCACCAAAAGGATATTGAAACAGCCAGTTGGATCCCCCTGAGAAGAGCGGGGTTTAAACCAAAAGCGGGGATCTCTAGCCCACAGCACCAGAGCCCAAAAAGTACACAGAAAACAGCCAGCTGCAAAAAGTGGCAGGGTTGCTCTCTGCCAGAGACAGGTGGCTGGAGATGCAAAGAACTGTTTAAAGGGCCAACGCACACATTTTATTTGCAGACACTTGCCCTGGTCTCTGTCAAAGGTTGGGGAGAATGGGCTAGAGATGCCTGAGGAAAAACTGGGGAAGGAGGCTTTGGGGAGAGAACTGAGAGTAGCCAGCAAGATCCCAGTGCAGACTCCTCCCCCACATGGCAGCAGCGGGAGAGGACCCAACAACCCCGCCCCCAGAAGGGACTCTGCCCTGCCTTGAGCTGTCTAAGGCAGCCTGCTGAGGGCAGAGTGAATAGATTGAGACAGCCACAAACAGTAGATTACTGGAAGTCTCGAACAGACTGGCTAAGGTCAGACAGGGACGACATCTGACATCATCAGAGGCAGATCCAGAAAGTAAAAACAGTGGTATCCAACCATAGAAGTTCACACCACAAAGTCAGGAAATCAAGACAGAGCAACTGAAGAATCAGAAACAAAAGAGAAGAGTCTCACAAATAATGGGAAGGCAAAGAAATACACCCCACTTGAAGGGAAAGGAGCAATCCCCAGAAAGAGAAGGCGGTGAAATAGAGGCAAATAAACTATTAGATATTGAGTTCCAAACAACAGTTCTAAGGAAGTTCAATGAGCTCAGTGAGCTCAGAGAGAATTACCAAAAACTACAGGGAAACTAGGAGGAACTTAACGTCAGCATGAAAAAGGACATAGAAACTATCAAGAAGAGACAAGAGGAAATGAAAAATACAATTTCTGAATTGAAGAACACAGTAGAAGGAATCAGAAGCAGGCTAGATGAAGCTGAGGACTGAATCAGCAAGCTGGAGGACAAGGTAGAAAAAAGCTTCTAGAAAGAGCAAGAAAATGAAAAAAGACTCAAAAAGAATGAAGAGGCATTGAGGGAAATGCAAGACAGCCTGAAATGTAATAATATCCGTATAATAGGGATACGAGAAGGAGAAAGGATGAGGAAGGGATAGAGAACCTGTTTGAAAAAGTCATGATGGAAAACTTCCCTAATTGGAGGAGAGAAAAAGTCACACAAATCCAGGAAGCACAGAGGGTCCCATCCAAGAGGAGCCCAATGAGGCCCACTCCAAGACACATTATCATTAAAATGGCAAATATCAAAGACAGAGAATCCTAAAACAAACAAGGGAGAAAGAGGTAGTAACATATAAGGGAGCCCCAATACGGCTAGCAGCTGACTTCTCAACAGAAACCCTGCAAGCCAGAAGGGACTGGCAAGAAATGTTCCAAGGAATGAAAAGCAAAGGCCTGCAATCAAGACTGCTCTACCCAGCAAGGCTCTCAATTAAAATGAAAGGTGAAATAAGGAGTTTCCCAGACAAAAGAAGGCTAAAAGACTACACCTCCACCAAACCAGCACTGCAAAATATGCTAAAGGGACTGCTTTAAGATGAAGAAAAGTTTCTATGACTACCCAGTTCCTTTCGGAGTTGCCAATATTTGATAGTACCAGTATTTTTAACACTCATTAATCTGATTGTGACAATGATGTTATTTTAATTATTCTTTTACTATTTGTTGAAACTAAACCTGTTTTAGTATACTTCTTGCCTATTTCTATTATTTTAAAAAAAAAAGCTTTAAATGACTTTTTGGTATTCTTTTGATCCATTTATTGATTAAAGGTTTGTAGAACTTTTTTCCCTAAAAAAAACAAACCTATTAAACATGATTTAGATGTGTTGCAACTACTTTCCTATTCTATTCCTTGTCCTTTAACTTTTTTATATGTATATTATTATATAGTTAAATGTTTAATATAGTAATATTGTCAATATTTACTTTATAACTTCCAGGTTTGAATATTTTACTTCAGGTCATAAAAAATATTAGTTCTATTTTCTTCTAAAACTCTTTAGATTCTACATATTGATTTTTAATTCACCTGAATATTTCTTGTATAATGTGTGAAATAGGGCTGTATATTTGTTTTATTCCAAGTAATAGTGGTCCATGCACCTTATTTGTTGAATAAGTCTTATTTTACCCATTGATTTGATATATCAACTTAATCATATATTATATTGTTAGATATAGACTTTTGTCTCTAGAATGCTCATTATATTTCATTGATCTACCTTATTATTCTTTCTGTGCTGATGTCATGTTAGTTTAATTGCTGAGACTTTATAATGGTCTGAAATTTTAAAAATATTTTATAATTAACTTTGACATCTAAAAAATAAATAAAATCAATCTGCATTTAAGAAAGAAAGAGAGAGAGATGGAACTCCTACCTTTTGCGACAACATGGATGGAACTGGAGAATATTAAGCTAAGTGAAATAAGCCAGTTGATGAAAGACAAATACCATATGATCTCACCTATAAGTGGACTCTATTCAACAAAATAAACTAATGAACAAAATAAACCACAGGCACAGAAACATGAAGCAGACTGAAAGTGACCAGAGGAGATGGGGAAAGAGGACAATGGTGGAAAGAAGGGGAAGGGACTAGACAAAGAACATGTATGAATGACCCATGGACATGGACAGCAGAGTGGGAATTGACTGTGGGATTGAAGGGTGGGAGTGGGATGGGTGGAGGGGGGTAAAGGGGGAAAAATTGAGACAACTGTAATAGAATAAATATGATTTATAAATTAAAAAATAAATTTAAAAAATGACATCAGTTAATATGGGGAAAAAAAAAGAAATTTCATAGCTTACCTAGTACCACACAGCAGAGAATAACAATGTAGAGTTGAAATTAAGGTCTGACTTCAATAAAACAGCCTCTTAGTCATTCTATTCTATCTGAACTCAGTTCCTTTTTGGCGTTAACCACCTGACCAGGGGTATCCAATCCACGGCCCACAGGCTGCATATATGTAGCCCAGGATGGCTATGAATGCAGCCCAACACAAAATTGTAAAGCTACTTAAAATATTATGAGATTCTTTTATTTTTATTACTGTTTGTGTATTTAATGTGTGGCCCAAGATAACTCTTCTCCTTCTAGTATGGCCCAGAGATACCAAAAGCTTGGACACCCCTGGACCCCCCACCCCTTAAATAATACAGCTGCTTTCTACTAAAGACTTCTAGAACTATAATCCAAAGAGGGGACTGATGGTGGCAACTTCTGGCTGAGACAGGCAGGCAGATGGAGGAAAATTACTTTACTCCTAACCCTACCCCCTACACCAACGAGGCAGTGCTTATGGTCAAAACATGCTTCGGATCTGGTACTTATTAGAAATATCCAGATTTGTGCAGATCACAGTTCCACCCACTCACCAGAGGCATGTTTCAACATTCTGTCCCCAGAACCCATTAATCATTTACAGCATGTTGACAGACATTTTAACCAGGGGTCAAGGTGAACATCCTTGGTTACACAACAAAAATGGACAACAACCGCTTCATCAATAGTGTGTGTGTGTGTGTGTGTGTGTGTGTGTGTGTGTGTGTTTAAAAGTTTGTATGAAATTCTCTGCTGTGGTATACCATAGCAAGGGATGGTCCTCACATTCTAATGCAATGAAGGCCTTCACAGCAGCTCTGCTTTCCATCCTTTTGGTCACTCTACAGCATTCCTGTGCTGTGAGTCCCATAGACTGCAATGCTACTGAACCCCTGGCTGGGAAAGCTCTAGACCTGATCAATAAAGAACGTCGGAATGGCTACCTTTTCCAGTTGCTGAGGGTCGCTGATGCCCACTTGGATAAAGTGGTAAGGAATTGCCAATGGCAGGGCTGAGTTGGTAAACCATGCACCAGGGGCTAATATGACTTGAGCCTGTAAGCCTACTGCTTTGCACAATGTAATGGCTTTGGCTAGGGTTTTCTGTTTAGTTTCTGCTGCTGGCTCTAGACTGTTTTATTTTTTTTAATTAACATTTGTTATTAGTATGTCCTTAACTATAAACTAATCTGTGAATACTTACAGCACTGAGGCTGAGTTCAATCAAATGCTAAGTAATATAAGGGAAAATTAGAATGAACTGCAGCACTTGTCCTCACAGGAATAATCATGAGCTCACACACACATATAGACAGCCTGTGTAAGGTAGGATATATTTAAGTGGCCAAGTGAGTGGTATAGATGCAGGACAATAATGAAATAGGGTCTATACAATTGGATAAGAGAAGGCTTCATTTGGGTCCCCCCAAATAAGCAGGATTTGAATACAAAGATGGCTTGAGGAATTACAGGAATACCACCTCTATGTGAGTAAGAAATCAGGAAGGAGGGTATTAGGGAGTAATTAAACATAAGCAGGGGTATTCCAGAAGCTCTATGTGAGATTTGGCACAGATAGCAGGGTGGAAAAAAGAATGTAGGCTTATCTTGATGCAAAGCAAGCCTACTGGCTTCACTTAGATCAACAATTTTCAACCAGTGTGCCATGAGAGTCACACTGATGTGTCACAAGAATGTTTAAAACTTGCAATGACAACAAACTATTTAGTCAGAGGCACTGACCTCTTCTATCTTAGATTATCAAATTAAAAAAAAAAATAACAGACAACACGATAGTCACCTGGCATGGATGAATCAAAATTACACCAATTTTCTTCTCAGATCAGCAAAAAATATATTTTTTGGCATGCTGCAGAATTTTAGTAATTAGTTTATGTGTGCCATGAGATGTAAAAGGTTACAAATCACTGTCTCAGATCATATGCTTATTTGGAGTAGATTTTAAGGCTTGATAGAGATTATGGAGGGTGGCCTCCCTCTCCAATCCCTCAAAATAACCTACCCTTTGGGAGAACCAATAAAATCAGGGACATCAGATAATAGAGCACCACAGGGGACAAACAATAACTTTATACTTGAAAGTATTAGATGTGGAAGCACTACAGGTTACAGAGAATGAGTGCAGGGATTTAAGATTCAACCAGCAATTCAGTGTCTACTAGTCCCATTCCAGGCTCTCTGCCACCTTATAGGACACAGGATGAATTGGCCCAGTGCTACCTCTAAATGTAGTAAAGGGGGGAAGAGCACAGTGTGCCTGGGGAGATGGATGTAAGCAACATGAACTATAAAGCTATTTTACATGCTCAGGATTGAGGAAATGAAGACCAGACCCAGGCAATGAAGTTTAGGTCAAAGAAAATGAAGAAAAGACATGAGATATTTCAAAGAAAGACCATTCCACATGGAGGGGGCGGGTGGGAGGATCAGTGTTTCTCTCTAATATCAATGTTTCTCTCTCTTTCAAAGCAATACAAAGCATCCTTTGGTGATGATGAAAAAAATGAAATCAAGAGATTGCTTCTACTGAAAACATAGTAGGCTCCAACATGCTACTCACATGTTGCTTTCTTGGAATTTCTCAGGAATCCACAGCTGTCTATTATTTAGTCTTAGATGTGAAAGAATCTGACTGTTCAGTCCAATCCAGGAAACACTGGGATGACTGTGAGCCAACTATTGCTAGACGTCCATCTGATATAGTAAGTAACCATGGTACCATTCTCTTCTCCTTACCATTCTTGACTTCTATCTTCTCTGTTTACTCAGGGGTAGCTATATGCCTAGGATAACACAGCAAAAGAGTAAGACTAGTTTCTATCTTTTGACTCATGAATATTATGCCAACCTTGATTAGTATTCTCTTGAGACCCATACCTCCAAACCCAGCTCAAAATAAGTCACTGGGGTTTGTGGTCACTTGGTATAGCATGACCAGCCATGAGACCTTGTGCAAGTCATCTAATCTTGCTAGACTTCCAGCTTATCAACTGTAAAGTAGAGGAAGAGTTTAGAGTAGATAAACTCTAAGATCCTTTATGGACCTGACAGTCTGTGGGTCTAGGGAAGAATGAACTTAACAATTGTGTCCTATGAAGACTGGTCCCATTAGCAGGAATGGCCAAAAGGATTAGTTGCCATTACCATGAGGAACAGGGTCTTGTTCTCATTGAACATGAGTACTCAGGTCCCAGGCTCTCTGCCACAAGAGGAGAACGCAAAGGTGACAAAAGCACAGATCTAAGATTTCAGTTCCAGAATGTAAGACATTTACATACCTAGAAATATTAGCATTTCTTCCCCTTAAAAATGTTTAACATATAGCCATGATCTGTTTAAACAGTTTCTCCCTGGTTCTCATAGGAGTTTTGGATTCCTGTAGTATCTAACTCACAGGAACAGATTAAGAAAATACAGGGTTTTGAGAGGGGATTTTTTGAGAGAAACTGCAAATAAATGTTAAATGGATAATAGGGTATGTTGCATCACTTTCTCGTTTCTTGATACCCAACCTGAAAAAAGCAGTAAACAATGGCAAACTCCTCTTTCTTACAGGTGATTGGACAATGTAAGGTAATAGCTACAACATGTTTGAGTGAATTTCAGGATCTTAGAGTGAATGACTTCAATTGTACCACAAGCTCTGGTATGGTAATCTAATTAAATGCTACTTAATTCTAGATTAATATAGAATTCAATCAGACAGTGGTATTTAACATATAAAACTATGATGTACATATCAAAAATGGTCCCTACATTCATGGAATTGATTATTACTCACTCTCCTGAGAAGAGAAGCAAGAGGGGGTTTCCCCTGTTATTGGTGCACTTTTTTAAAAAGAAATTCCATATACAAAAAATAGAAATATACACAAGGCAGTATTGCATCATTGTAGAGAACATAGGCTCTGGGGTCAGATTTGCTTGAATTTAAATCCCTACCTCTTCATTTACAAGTTGCATGGTCTTGAGGGCAAGTTACTTACCCTCTTTAAGCATTCCTAATTTGTAAAATAAAGCTAATAATATGGTCATCCTTTTTGATTTTTGTTAGAATTAAATAAGATGCTCTGTGTAGTATACTTCCAAAGCACTCAGCACTCAGCATCTAAAAGTTATGTATTGACACTACGGTTTACAAAGCAGTTGTACACATGTCATCTCATTTAATCTCACAACAAGACTATGAAGATTATGATACTTTCTTTTTTAGAGTTAAAATATTTGAGGTTCAAAGAGGCTCAATGACTTGGCCTCAGGAACACAATCAAAATGTGGTGAACATAACACCACCCCACCAGTGTTGAATCTAAATTCCATGCTCTTACTATTTACTTTTTCAAAAAGAATTAGCACAGAATTCTTTTAAAAATAACAAATCACAACATGATTCAGTATACAAAAATTCAACAACCAAGCAAATCCTTCAGATGATTGCCTTAAAGAAGACTGAGCTGTATCTTCTCTGGGAAAAACCTCATGTTAATAATGTTCTATCTCTTTGGCAGAGATAGGAAGAGTTCATTAAAATATTAACACTGTACAAATGATGAGAGTGGGGCATCATGAATAGGGTAACAACAGAAACTTGAGTGTCAAAAGGATCTGGGTTTAAATTTAGCGCTGCTGCTGACTGGCTGACTTGCTGGAACAAGTTTCTTAGCCTCTCCAACCCTCAATTGCCCATCTGTAAAATGGAAGCTTTTGTTATTCTTGCCGCCATCCTTATATGTATTAAGTCAAAGTATTGACATTGCTGTCTCTAACCCAGTAACCACAAAGCTGTCATCTTTCTCCAGCCTTTTCTGCACTGGCCAACACTAAAGACAGCCCAGTACTCATTGATTTTTTTGAGGATACTGATCTCTACAGAAAAGAAGCAGAGAAAGCCCTTGAGAACTACAGAAGGGAGAATAGTGGCTTCGCCTCTTTCAGAGTGGACCAAGTGGAGAAAGTCGCAAGAGCGGTGAGTCAGCAGTAGTGTCCAGCTAGAGTGTGAGCGCCCAGGTTCCAACCTTGAAGGCATAAATTCACTAGCACTAACCCTCTCCAGTGACCTCACTCAGCCAGCTGCTTTTTATAATTCTAATTAAAAAATTTTTTCAGTTATAGTTAACATTCAATAGTATTAGTTTCAGGTATATGCAAATTCAAAAACATATATGGATCCTTATATTAATTGCAGAATTATTTACAATAGCCAAGATATGGAAGCAACCCAAGTGTGTACTGATAGATGATTAGAGAAAAATGTGAGATATGTATATGTGTGTGTGTGTGTGTATATATATATATATATATATAATGAAATATTATTACTCTGCTATAAAAAAGAATGAAATCTTACTATTCTGACAACAAGGATGGACCTAGATGATACTATGCTATGTGAAAGAAGCCAGAAAAATAAAGACAAATACCAGCTGTTTTTATATTTGAGACCCCTGTTGCAGTCTCAAGAGATAGGCAGCAGACACCACAGAACTGCCCTCCTACAGTTTTTTATTTTGGGGAGTTGTGGGGAATGTGATATCTAAATGGGAGGGGAAGAAACCCAAACAAAAAGAGTCAAAGACAGACGAGCATATTATGGTAATGTGAATCATTAAAATCATCTGGTCCTAACCTGTTTGTATTATGGTGGAAAACTGAGGCTCAGTGGTATGGCTGGAGCTAGACAGTTCTTCCTACCAGTCCAGAGACACAAGTGCCTCCCATGCAGAGTGGCCTTGTAAAGCAGCTAATTGGTATGGTCTTGCATTTTGAAAATATAAAATTAAATGAACTATGGTGCATACAAGCAATGGAATGAATACAGTGCAATTACTAAAAAGAATGTTTTGGACCTATATGCATTGGAAAGAGTTTCAAGATATATTGCTAAGGGGAAAAGCAGGTTACAGAACAATACTTAGACTCTGAGATGCTTTACATTAAATGATTAGATATAGCTGTATATACACAACATATTTAGAAAAAGGCTAGAAGGAAAAACACATCAAATGAATGATAGTGGTACCTCTGAGAAGAACAGGTTGAGGTGCAGGAGGAAGGACTTTTCACAATATGCTTGATTATGTATATGTTATCTGAACTTTTTCAATGAAATATTATTCACCTTATCACTTACATGATAAATTTTTAAGCGGAAGAGACAATAAGAAAAATGACACATATTAGTGATTTTGAATCCTCATAGTGCCTTTAAAGTATATTGAATAGTAGGTATCTACTGCCTTTTTTTTTTAATGTTCCTCAAACTGTTTTGATCCCATCTGTTCTAGAGAGGAGGGAAAAGAACCAATTACTATGTGGATTTCTCTGTAAGGAACTGCTCTCATCACCATTTTCCCAGGCACCATATTGTGAGTATAACAGATGTCTGTGAAATATTAGGTAATATTTAGAGACCAGTTATGTGCCAGATACTCTTGTAAGGGCTTTACACGTATGTTAATGCAGTACCTCCACCACCACTCTATGAACTAGGTATTATTTTTATCCCGGATTTACATATGGGGAAAGTGAAACATGGAGAATTAAGGGAACCATGAGAATATCATTTCATAAATATACATGATATATATCTAAAATTAACACTAAGTGTTTTTTTTTAACTCATTGGGATTAAAGACTCAGCTAAAAGTAATAACTAGAATGCATTAAGAACATACACTCATGGGTACTTTCATTTCCTTCATCTCATTTACTCCTCACAGTGACCCCATTTGATAAATGGGAAGGTAATAGTATCAATAAAGTAAGGGTCTTGCCCAGTGTTCACAACCAAGCTGATATTCGGATCCATTTCTATGCTCAGTCCAATGGGATTTTCCCCTTAATAATTTATAAATTGATACTCATGTGCCTGCAGGAAGACGTTACAAATGATACACAGCATTCATATAGTGGCTTATAGTTTACAAAACACTTCCACATGTATTATTGCCTTGTTGGAACCGTGTGACAACCCCATTGAGGAGAAACAACTGTCTGCTTCCATTTCCCTGGGACAGAAGCGCCTAGAAGTTTAAACACTTTCCTAAGGGTACTTGGCTAGAAAGTGTTATAATACAGGATTTTAATGGTAGCCTTCTGATTTCAAGTCCAGGATTTTTCTGGAGCATATTAATGTGTTTTCCAGGGCCAGAAGAGAGAAAGCATTTATTAATTCTTTTTCTGGCTGTTCAACTTTTCAACCTGAAGTAGTTCTAGAATCCTGCTTAGTGGCCACAAGAAAAGACACTACCTCCCCCATTCCCATCCCAACCTACCCTTAACTATGTTGGTGTGGGTAATGTAAACCCAGTGCAGAAACTTGGAGGCTAGTGAAGAGGAGCTCAGTGAAGTGCTTTATAGCATTATCTTATTTAATTAAGCTCTCCCACAACCTGTGGGTAGATAGTATTATACACATTTTACAAACAAAGACAGTTTCAGAAATTTTATGGAACTTACCTAAATCTTACACAACTAGGAAATGAAGAAACAGGATTAACATAGGTCTGTCAGACTCCAAAACTGTACTCATAACCTCAATGCTTAAGAGTCTCTTCTAAAAAAGAGTTTTCTTCTTCTAACTTTGACAGCTGGGTTTAGGGTTCTCTGGAGCTGAGGAATGCCAGCAAATTGTAGCCTCTGAAGTTAGGGTAGGGCCAGCAGACAGTCACTTTGACAAGGTCTGTGTAAACCCATTTTCATACCGGTTCCCTCCTTTCCAACACTTTTCTCTGAGGAACTGGTTAAAGTTGTACAAGTTTCTCATTTACACCACTCTTCATTCTCTCTTTGCACAGGCAATTCTCACCTTCAGCACAGGAGGGTTGGCCTAAAGTCAAGGCATCAAGAACATAATATTCCCTGCTACCACCCATGGGGAAGCCCAATGCTAGTAACCAGTTGTAGAAAAGAACCATAGGAGCTTGTATCCTGGCTGATGTGCCCCAGTCGGTTGGGTATTATCCTGCAAACTGAAGGTCATGGGTTCAATTCCCAGTCAGGCCACATGCCTGGGTTGTGGGTTTGGCCCCCAGTTGGAGACAACCGATTGACATTTCCCTCTCATATCAATATTTCTCTCCTTCCCTTTCCCTCTCTCTAGAATCAATAAAAAATTTTTTTCTTAAAGGAACCACAGCAACTTGTTATGAAAGCCTTTGGATCCTGCACTTTTCCCACAGTGTTGACTAGGAAATATTGTTAAATAACTGGTGGAGATATTTGATAATATTACCCTGATTTTTCTAGAGCTCTTCTTCCTTTCCAGAATGCCTGGAAGTTCACCACTCTAGTACACCTTCACACCACCTGCATGAATACATACAAATACACACATGTACTAACAGGCTTCTTTCTTATTTGTAGGTGTTTGGCTTCTGCAGATTAGATTTGTCCTATGATGTAGGAAACTCTGACATGGAAAATCCAGAGGATGTAGCCATAAACTGTGAAGTCTTCAACCTTAAGGTGGGGACCCAAGCAAACCTTGTCATGATCAGTGCCAGACTAAGTGGTATTTTCGTACACATGGTGTATTTTGTTCTTATGTCTGTGTGTGTGTCTGGGTGTGGGGGTGTGTATGAGAGAGAGGAGATGTGATGGGAGGAAAGGTTTAAGAGAAATACAGAGAGAGCAGCCACTGGGGAAAGGAGTGCAATTGTTGATATGACACAAGTGTAAAAATTTTTCCAAGAATTGGGAAGGGTAAGATCATGACCAATTTAATCAACATTTAATAAATTTGAAAATGGTCCTTGCAGGTAGGATCCCAGCACTGAGACTTAGTAATCCTAGTTTAATTCTTAGGCATAGAATCTAAGGGGAATGAATTGGTTTCAAATTTATCTATAAGGATATATAAAAATAAGATGCAAAGCAATATTTTATGATAATATCTGTGTGTAGAAACCTTTGTTCTGCACTCAAATATTCTTCACACAATTTTTTATATTAGCAAAAAACCCCGAAAATAATTCAAACATTCATGTGCCAAACCATAGAGGTGGTGGAGAGAGCAGGTTAGTCACCATGAACATGGCTGCATAGATTTAAAAAAATTAAAACCTAAATAAGAGGAGTGAAGAGGTGAAATATTCATCCTTTTGGGAGTAAGAGAAGCTTATATCATAGGGTGTCAGAACTCTGTTGAGAGGCTAAGTTATAAGGCATTGTTTTCCAAATATTGGTCTACAGATGAGTATCCTTCTATAATATAAACTTACTACTTCATGTTGAAATGAGAAAAATAAAGATAGTAAGAAAAGTTTTTATGTGTTTTGACATATCTCATTTAAAGAACCGCCCTTTACTATGAGATTATCTTTCTGATTGTTGTTGTCAGATATTAGTCCTATTGTGAAATGATGGTGGTAGATGACAATTTTTGTTTGTATTTTAAATGCCAATTTGGCTAAATAAAAATTTGAGAGCCTTTCTTTCTCTTCCTACTTTTAAAATTCCTTTGTAGAATCCAAAATGATGGTAGCCACTGGCATCCATCGAGTTAAACATCTAATTTTCTCCTTTATATAGTGATACTCACTTTTCTGTGTCCTTTACCAGGAACCTAGAAACATCAGTGATGTACAGCCCCACCTGGGGCATCCCCTCCACTCTGGTGTGCAGAAGCACTTTCCTGCTGGGAAGCCTCCGTGTAAGCACAGTGGATCCAGAGATCACAGCCATCCGCACAAGACACATAAACTTGGATGCCCACCTCCTCCAGAAGACAAAAATTCCTCAGACAGAACACCACTTCAGGCAGGGGCTCCTCCACTCTTGCCCCCTTTGAGATGTCATCATCTCCATTCTGGCACCAATGGAACCCGCCTGCCCCCTCATAATCATAGTTCCAGTGAGCACCATTCCCATGAGCACAGTTCTCATGAGCATCCTCCTCATGGACACTGTCCTCATGGACATCATCCGCATGGACATCATCCGCATGGACACCATCCCCATGGACATCATCCGCATGGACACCATCCCCATGGACATCATCCGCATGGACACCATCCCCATGGACACCATCCGCATGGACACCATCCGCATGGACACCATCCCCATGGTCATGATTTTTATGACCATGGACCCTGTGACCCACCATCCCATAGCCAAGGTCCCCAAGATCACCATCACTGGGGCCATGGTCCACCACCTAGGCACTCAGAAGAAAGAGGTCCAGGAAAAAGACACCTTCCCTTCAAAGGGAGACAAATTGGATATGTTAACCGACTCCCTCCGTTAAAGAGCGGTGAAGTTCTTCCTCTTCCTGAAGCCAATTTTCCCAGCCTCTCATTGCCAAACCACAACCATCCTCTGAAGCCAGAATTTCAGCCCTTCCCTCCGTCAGCCTCTGAATCATGTCCAGGGATGTTTAAGACGGAGTTTTCACATGTGTCAAAGTTTTTTGCATATACATTTCCAAAACGAAATATGAGTTCCTAGATAAATGAGTAATGTTCTGAATTAGAAAAATAAATAAAATATAACAAGTAATAAATGCAAAATGACAAGTTGTTTTAACCTTACTTCCATATTCAGGATAGGGCAAAATGTGGGTGGGGAGGGGACAATAGCATGAGAAGTTCAAGACAAATGGGGAGGAGAGGAAAAAGCTTGGTGTGACAAGTCAGAGGTTAATTCTCTCACTGGCTACTACAGCACTCGAGACAATTTCTCTATTCCCTTCAGGATTTCTCTATTTCCTGGACTTAATTCCTCAATTCTAGCATCATTCCTCTATTAGTACTTATGCTGTAGCTGGGCATACCAAGAAAGTATATATTGTCATATAAAGGATTATTCTTATAAAAGTGATCCAAATTCTCTCCTATGTTTTTATTTCCAGTCCTCCAAATTTTGGTTTGGAAAAATAAGTTCTAATTTTAATTATAAAGCAAACAAAGCTCAGGCTATAATTTGCAAAGGAGTTTATAGACATGAATCTTGATCATACATTTAGATGCACCAGAAATATCAGTTCATTTTTAGAACACATTAATTTCTATTTCAAGTTGCCATCCTACTGGGCTAATAGGAAACTTAACCTTCTTGGAGTTCCCTCACTCTGCTGCTCCCCACACAAAGCTATGTCACAGTTTGAGACTCTTACATAGTCCAAGGTGTTTGGGTGGTGGACATGAGAAAGAGGTCTGATTCTTCATCACTGGGTCACCCGGTCCCTCTGCTGAGGGACACTTACTACCCTGTTCACATCACTCTTTGGGCGTAGTTTATCTGCTACTTCAGTATCAAACTGGGGATAGAAGAGTTTCTGTAAGACTGCTGATGAACACGACTGCCAAGAGATACTGTATGACTGTTTTCTCCCTGGGATCTTGTTGTCTTTCAGGCTACATGTCCAGGAAGCAGGGCAGAGGTGTCCTCTGCTCTCAGACCCCCAGACTCCTCTGTTCTTCTCATACCTTCTCCCCAGGCTAGGGGCTTTCTAGTCTCAGAAAGTTTTCTTTATTCATTTTTGATCCCAGGGGACTCTTTTTCCACACTTGAATTCTCTTTTTTTTCCCTTTTTCCCAAATTAGGCTCAAGCATTTAGACACATGCTAATAAGACTTTAAAATTAGGGGTATCTAACATTTTGGCATCTCTGGGCCACACTGGAAGAAGAAGAGTTGTCTTGGACCACACATTAAATACACAAACATTAACAAAAATAAAAACAAAATCTCATATGGTCTAAGTACATTTACAATTCTGTCTTGAGCCGCATTCATAACCACCCTGGTGTACATGTGGCCGCGGGCCGTGGGCTAGACACCCCTGCTTCTACCTGACTTACTGAAGCAGTTTCAGGGTGTGTGTTGATCGTAGAATGTAGATTCTAATGGGGGGAGGGAGAGAAAGAACAAAAACGAGGTTCTTAGGCTGGGAAGAAGGAGAGGATCACAAAGATAAAGAACCTGACGTGGGAGAATGAGGAGATGACGGATGTGCTCATTCCAGGAAGAGCTGAAAAGCAGCAGAAGGCTAATCAATTAACAGGACTCAGAAACACGTCTTAGAGGAATGTGGTCAAAAGGTGCAAATTTCCAGTTTTAAAATAAAGACTAGGAATATAATTTATGCATGATGACTATAGTTTACACTGCTCTATGAAATACAGACAAGATGTTAAGAGAGAAAATCCTAAGATTTCTCATCAAAAGAAATTTAATCCTTTTTATTGTATGTATACAAGACAATTGGTGTTAACTAAACCTGTTATGGTAAATGAAAGCATCATGCTGACATCTTAAGCTTATACAGTGATGTATGTCTATTACTTCTTAGTAAAACTGGAAAGAAAACAGAAATTGGCTGTGTATTCAGGTAGTGTAATAAGTAGGAAAGAATGTGACTGCAGAGAAGGCCCACCTGGGTTTAAAGCCCACTGTTACAATTCATTGACTGCATGATCCTAAGAGATTTATTAAACCTATTTGGGCCTCCCCTTCCTTCTCCAAAGCACGGCGATGGTGGCAGCCTTTTTCCCTTTCCTCCCTAGACTTCCCTTCCTGGAGCCACATGATGACACCAAAACATTTACTAACCAATATGACACCAGCACCGACCCACAGAGCAGCTACAACAACCAGCCAGAAGAGTCGCCAGCCGTAAACAAGCTGGGTGCAGCAGCTGCACGTGGGCTCTGCAGAATCGACATTCCTTCCCCAGGCGTGAACACAGGGAGGGCTGCTTGGGTAGAGGGTAAGGACACGTGAAATCCAGGAACCCCCATGGAAAAAAACACATAGCTTAATAACTCACAGAAGCACGTGAGTAGTGTTTTATAACTTACAAAGTACTTTCACAAATATCGCTTGAGCTACTGAAAATATTACCCGGAAAACATGAGATTGAACATTCTCAATTCGCTTCAATTAAATGCATTTGTAATATGCAGACACCGTTGCTGTGGGTGAATAACGGGGTAAGACACAAGCCCGACCCTAGGGAGCTGGCACTGTGCTAGAGGATTAGACAAGTTACCACTGATTGCTGCTTTGTGTAGAATTTTTCCGACACGATAGCTAAAACGGGTATGAATGTTTAATGTTTGTTATGGTCGGTAAATTGTGGGACTGGAATTAGAACCGGATCAGCCTCCAAAGTCACATGCTGTCCTTTTTCTTTCTTTCTTTCTTTTTTTTTTTTGCTGCCTGCATATACTGCCACTTGAAACACCCAGCGTGACCAGCCTTGTGCTCCTTCCCGGCTCCTCCTGGACCGAGCACATCAGTCATCTCCTCACTCTCTCACTCTCAGCGTCTTCATCCCTGCGGGTCTCTTTCTTCCCGGGCTAAGAGCATACCCAAGTCTCTTTCACCCTTACTTTTATTTCCTACATCCCCCGTTGCCCCTGAACACACACTAAAATCTCCCTTCTGCCATCGCCACATACCTGAGTCTGCTTCAGTAACTCAGAAATCTTTAACCATCCCACACTAATATTAGACAAAATTTATAAGAACTAATGGCCAGGCCCTGCACATACATTATCTCCTTTACTCCTCAAGAAAACCCTTCCTTAAGATATTACAATTTTTCATATTTCCAAAATGCGGAAACTGAGGCTCAGAAAAGCTATGTGACCCTGACGGACTCAGGATCACATAGCAATTAAGTAGCAGAGCTGTACTAGAGTCCAGGTTGGACCTACTGCCAAGTTCATGTATCTGCCACTCTGCTACAAGGCCATCATTCAGCCCCCACTGAGCCCCACTTTTCCAGGGGCTCTCAGGAAGCAAAGCTAGAGACCCCATCAGCAACAACAAAGAAATCAAACATGTTGTGCACGGGGAAGAGGGTAAGACTTGAGGACAAACATCTACTAAGGGCTAGCCCTCATCTTTAACCTTGGACTCCTCTTCCTGAATAGTCTAACTTTATCAGAAAGGTCACTTAGGCTGGTGAATAAAAGACCCCCCTAATGTCCACCAAACCAGGAACGAGAAGGAAGGGCAGGGTGAGCGGGCTTCCCTCAACCCATCTCTCCTTATGCTCCTCCCCCATCTCCTCTACTCTGGGGAGCACTTTCCCTTCTACAACTAATCCAATTGAGTGGGGAGAGGCTGGCTTGGCTAGAGACCAGACAGGATACCCATTTTTTACGCTTAGCTGTGCCAATGTCCTGGGGTGGGACTCCCTGCACTCACTATGTCCCTGTGCGTGGGCTCCCTGGGTGTGCAAAGGCATTTTTTTGGAAAGGTGTCTGCACATGGTGGCATTGTTGTCACATGTAGTGACTCTCATAAATGGCTTTGGGAAACTCATTTGGAAAAGAAAATAATATGGGGTTGGTGTTGTTTTCCCCTCCTTTATTAGTTTCTGTTCTGATTTGCTATACAAAGTTGTGCAATTGCCCAGAAATTTGTTCTGTGCTCCCACGTAATTCCCAAATGCAAACAAGCATCTGTTGTCACTGACCCCAGTGTTGTAATGTGCCAGCCAGAGATCTGCTTGGATAAGCCAGCAGAGCCATTTATCTTTTTCTGATAGGGCAAATAGTGGGTGGCAGCAGGAATCCAAGAGGCCCGTGAGGTGCTAAGGCAGAGAAAGGACAGACAGAGTAAATAAGACTGAAGAAAGTTAACATCAGCATCTAGAGTAGCTCCCAATTATTGGTGAAACTACCAGAGGGAGACTGTTCAATCATGAAGTTAATTGCCATCCTTCTCCTTTGCTCTAGGCTACTACCAATTTTAACCCAGGAGTACCACTGGGAAGAAATCGACTGCAATACTGAGGATGCATTTAAGGCTGTGGACACAGCCCTGTTGGATTATAACAATAGAAGTGAAAGTGGCAACCAGTTTGTGTTGTATCGCATAACTGAAGTCAACAAGACGGTGAGTGAGCTGTGTTCAGCCTTGAGGTCATTTGGGATTTGTGCTGTCATTTGAAAACTGAGAAACACACACACACACACACACACACACACACACACACACACACACACACACACACATATCACCAAAGAACTGGTAAGCAAAAGTAGAAGCTTACAGCTTTTACACAACACCAATCCCACTCTCTGGGTCGGGGTGGAAGCAGGGCATGACTAGTCTTCAGGCTACCGAGACTGGCTTCCTGGGTGATGAGATGAGAAGTGTCCTGGGGTGAACCGACAGAAAGGTAGCGGAGTCATCTGCAAGGGGCTATGCAGAGTTGGAGAATCCACGGACTCAGGCCTAGCAGCAGGATTTGCTGGGTGACCAGCCTCCGACTAAAACATAAAGACCTTCAGACCTCTAACGAGGCGGGGGGTGAATAAGGGGGTACATCTAACAAATACTATGTAATTTCCTTATATGTAAAATTTTAAAAAGTCAAAATTACAGAAGCAAAACAGAGAATGGTGGTTGCCAGGGGCTCTGGAGTGGGTGAAGTGGGGAGACGTTGGTCAATGGAACAGACTTGCATGTACAAGGTGAATCCGTCCTGGGGATCTAACGGACGGCGTGGTTATTAGAGCTGATAATACTGTATTGTTTACCTGAAATTTGCCAAAAGGCTAGACCTTGAGTGTTCTCACCACACGCACAAAACAGGCAATTTTGTGAGGTGATGATGTGTTCATTAGCTGATTTGTGGTAATCATTTCACAATGTGTTCATCTATCAAATCACCTTTTTATACATCTTAAACACGTACAATTTTTATTTGTCCATTATACCACAGTAAAGCTGGGGTAAATGAGGGGCAGCAAAGTACATCTCAGAGGAGTCACATGAGATTAACATAGTTTTCCTGAATTTGACAACATATCTGCGCAAAAGTCCTAATTGCAGAACATATCAAGGGTAATAGCAATGGCCTGTTGGGTTTGAATACTGTTTCAATCACTGGTTCATACACTCAGGTTGAAGATAAATCCTGGCAGGATGTGTGATTCCAAGGAATACACACTTCCAGACCCAGAGGGGTAGGATCTATGGGCAGTGTGTGGAAAGACTCAGCTGGGTATGGGGGTCTGGAGGAGCCTGGCAGCTGTCCCTTCAGCCCGCTCCCTGGGACGCGGGCCCGGACTATCCCTGTGTGGCTCTGGTCTGGCCTGGGCCACCTTCCCTCTGCTGGAGCCCAGCTCTGGACAGCCCAGTCCTGCTAGTTCCACTCCAGCTTCAGTTCTAGCTCCAGCTCCAGCTCCAGCAGCAGCTCCACACAGTCCCAGATGAGACAGCAAGGTCCTCTAAGGTCTATCATGGAAGATCTGCGTTATGCTGAAAATGGGGAGGAATCGGGGGAGGGGGAGGATAAAGCCAATGACTCCAGAATGGAGAGACCTGCAAATAGAAGAGACTGCCTAAGCCCAGGCGTTAGCTGAAGCGATGGCAGCAACAGTGAAAGCAGTTCTGCTTCTTCCCTCTCCGTCATGAACCCCTGCCACCCTCATTGAAAACCAACAACAACCAGATTCTTGAAGTGCAAAGTCCAGTAGGCAAAGCAAATCAGATAAGCAACAAATAAGAATGGTGAACGTGACCAGGCATACCTAGGTGGCCTGGTAGAGCTTCACAGAAGGTTAATGATGTGGAGAGAAAGAAACATTGTGCAGCAGATTGTGAATCTCTAGAGAAAAGTGGATACTTTCATATCACAAATGCATTTGATTTTGACCTTTGTTCCTGGACAAATTAACAGCCTATAAACTACTGAGTTACCTGGAAACATCTGGAACATCCCCAGGATACAACAGGTGGATGTTTCAAAAACTAACGGGGCTTTATGCTGTTGTTTGTAATTGTTTTTGTTTGTATGAAAATAGAATGGTGTAACTAAAAGGGAAAATATAAAAATTAAGCAACCTTAAATTTTATATTTCTTTAATGCCAATCTTAATCTCTTGATAAAGGAAAGGTTAAGCCCTGACAGGTTGGCTCAGTTTGGTTGAACATTGTCCGGCAGAGCAAAGGGTCACCAGTTGGATTTCTGGTCAAAGGACATGCCTTGATTTCAGGCTTACTGGGAGTTTATGAGAGACAAATAATCAATGTTTCATGCACACACAGATGTTTCTCTCCCTCTCTTTCTCCTTCCCTTCCCCGACTCTAAAATAAGTAAAATCTCTTCTTAAAAAAAAGGAAAGATTAAGCAAAACAGTCTCAGTGGACCACTCTTCTCTTCAAGGAAATCCCTCAGAAGAGTTAGGCTGGATAGCCTTGAAAACAAAGAAATCGAATCCAAAACAAGAAGACTTAAAGAATGTGCCTGGTAGTGTGTATCTTTCTCTGTGGTGGTTCATTCCACACAACGGATGCATACTCAGCACACTGAGTTATTACATACCTCATCTATTTATTATCACATACGGACTAGGGTATCTTAGACACCTTAGAATAGCTCGTTGAGGGAGTGACACCGCAAGGACATGAGTACTTGGTCCCGTGGATGCTCTCTGTGCAGCGCCCTTGCCATCCCAAGCCCAGTGTTCTCGCTCACACATTGGGCCACTCTCCATCAGCTTTCTCCAGCTCCTTCTCTCGTGGCTGTCTGCATGGGCCACCTTCTGTTTCCAGTTCCAGAGCACGGATGACGTGGTGACCCCACCACCGCCCTGAGTTTTCTTTGTGCTCCTTTTCCGGAAAGTCGGGGCCCGGTCCTCGGCTGTATCCATATAATGATCTCGGACCGTGGGAGGAAAAGCACCAAATAGGATCATATGACAAGCTGCTCTGGCTTTGTCAATCAACCTACTGAGCTTTTAAACAAAAGCCTATGTGTGAACGTCCCGCGTCCAGCGTGGTGGGGCTGTCACCCACATCCAGTGTCTGTTTCACTGTTACAACATTAGGTAAATAGGAAGTAAAGACATTCCACAAGGATCCTCGTTTTCTAAAAAGGAATTCTGATTCTGTTTTCTAAAGAAATGTAGAAATTCTCAATTTGGATCTGTTTACTAGTTAAGAGTTTCAGCTTCCCTCAGAGGCCAGTGAATTATCCCTCTTTGCCATCAACCCAGGAATAAACGACTTTTCTTTATTCATATAGAATCCTCTTAGACGCTGTTATATTTGGAAAATTAAAATCTTTCTTTGGGGGAAATTCTTGTGTCTTCTGCCATCGCAGGTTATGTATTAACTTGTAGATTCAGTGGTTCGATACCTGTTTAGTCACTTGCTTTGTTCCAGAAGGATTTCTTGTATTGGTGACTATGAAGATGGATGGTATGGGAGGGGGGATATGTTTGTTCTTGATGTATCCTATTTTGAAACCAGAAATCTGCCTTGTGGCTGCAAAAGAAAGCAAATTACTTTTGAAGAAAAAGCAAAAAACAAAACCAAAGTTTAACAAAACGAAATACAAACTTTTAGCAGTTTGTTTAAATGAATTCCACTGTGTCTCTATGATAGATCATTTCGGTGGAAGAAAAAATTCAGCCATTGGACATGATGAGATGAAAGAAAAAAGCCCAGTGGGCATTTCTTTTTCCTGAAAGTGAAATTGAGCCAGTCTGTTTTACAAACTGGTGTCATCATGTGAGCCCTGGTGCCCTCAGCCACATTTAATGGTGTCATCCTCATTGGCTGACATCCATGGCAAATGTGTTCTTTTGTTCTAAAGGGTCCACAAAGTCGCCTTTACTTTGCTATGCATACCACTGCCACCTAGTGCTTCATCGAAATCTGAGACCGGGAAGGATCCTCAGAGATGATCCTGCTTGACTCCCTCATCTGCCAGATGCAAATACTCTGAGGAGCGCAGGCTCAGGGAGAACACTACCTGGGACTCAGGAGCCCCGGGATCTGGGCTGGCTTGGCCTTTCCTAGGTGGGAGGCTGCCTAGGCTATTATGTCCTATCAACTGGGCCTCTTTTCTCTCGCCTGCAAAGTGAGGGACTGGACAACATCACCTCTCAGGTCCTTTGCTGCTGCAACATGCCTGGACCATGCATGTGAATGTTCATCCAACTCAGAACCTTTGAACTTTAATAGTTCAATTTATTCTTTTGTGTGTGATAGAAAAAATAGAAAATAAAACGAAGCAAATAAAAATACTAAAATTACCAGTGTTCTGGGATAACTGTTAACATTTTTTTCAAAAATAAAAAAAGTCCTCATTTGTTTTCTAGATTTAGAAGTAGTATATTTTGTTAAAAAAAAAATACTCAGACAATTCAGGAATATTAGTTTAAAGAAGAGAGTGAGAGACAAACATTTTAAAACCTTTCCTGCATGACTTTCCAGGCTTTTAAAATCATATATGTACACATATATTGGTTCCAACAAAAACAGGCTAATACTAAGGATACTACTTTGTGACTTAAAATATATATATTTTCATGAACATATTATGAACATTCTTCCAAGTATTTTGAACTTTCAGTATTTTTAATAAATGTTTAGTTCTGATTGAATTAAATCAATACCAACTATTATAATTGCACCAATCCCACTCAAAAGGTTTGCTGTTGGTCATTTGGATAAACCCTATGTATCTTTGGTGGCTTTTTTTCAGGAGAAGGAAGAGAAGCTATTCTATTCCATCAAGTACCAAGTCAAGGAGGGCAACTGCCCTGTTCAAAGCGGCAAAACCTGGCAGGACTGTGACTACAAAGAAGCTGAGCAGGCTGTAAGTGCAGGCTCCGGAACCTCCCGTTCTCTCCGCGGGCCTGCCAGATTGTTCCACTAGTGCTGGGGATGATGCGTAGTGCTGAGCGTGTTTAGGGGGGCCGGGGTGCACATAAACCCTCAAGTGCTAAGAAAAGTCAAAATGTTTGATGTCTGTGTTCTTGCATAGACAGAAAGGGCATGGAGAGGCCAGACATTTAGTGTAGAGAAAGACTTCCCATGAGGAGGGGGCTCTACTGACCAACTGGGGCACACGGGCCAGGTCCCAGACAGTGGGCAGATGGATACTGGGCTAAGATCGAAGGCTGGCGAGGGATACCATGGGTGCTTAATTTGCACAGACCTGAGTTTCCGTCCTGCTCGGCCTCCAACTGGCTGACCACTCTGAACCCATGGGCTCCCTTGTAAAAGGGAGGCAAAACTGACCTCATCCGGTTGTTGGAAGACGAAAGGGGATCCATTATGACAGGGCCTGATTCTGATAACAATGGCTATCTTAACCAAGAGCCTAACAAATGTGTGTCGCTGCAAGTGAGTGAGGCTGCAGATGGTTTTTGCCAGGAAGCAAGCCGCGCTCTCCACAGTGCACGGACTCACCCCGTTAATGTCAGAACACCTGCACTCTGCGTGCACGTGAATGCTGAGGTTGAAATGTACGTCAAGAGGAGAGTGGAGCCGGCTGGTTCTAGGACACTGTGTTCATCCTGGTGAAAAAGAGGTGTCTCCACAGCTCCATACATAAAATTACATTAGAGCCCCGACATGTATCCTGCCTTTCCTCCCGATGCCCCATGAATATTAGTGTCTAGTAAATAATAATGATTAGGCTACCAAAACATTCATCCTTATGTCTCAAAACTCTGTTAGGAAAAAATCTTGACAAGTGCTAGGTAAAAGGAAAGCCACACTGAGCAACAGCACTAAGTGCACTTCTCCATTGAAAGATTAAGATAAATGGTCTTCCTTCTTTGATTTTCCTTTTTTTTTTAGGCCACAGGAGAATGTACTGCAATTGTGAGGGAAAAAGAAAATAAGCTCACCATGGCCAGCCAGACCTGCCAGATTACTCCAGGTAGCTGACATATCCAGCGGAGCCGCCCTGAAGGAAATGAACCATTTCCCTGTGAGGCCAGGAGCATAACCTAGACAAAGCTCCTTCCCAAGGGAGCAGGGTGGCTGTAGCAATGCCATTTGCAGCCTTGGTGGGTGTTTAGAGGCTGGGGGTGGCAGAGGCCAGAGGCTGGGGCCAGGCTCCTGCCTGTCATCTATCTCCTCAGCACTAACCTGACCCACTTCCTGGAGAGCGGCGTTGTATTAGCATATGCTAGAGCCCTGGGAAAGGACTAGAAAACATATCACTTGCCATCGATTGTGGGCAGCATGCTCCAGAGGGAAGAGCCGGGCTTGGAAGTCCGATCTGGCCTGAAATCTTTCAAAAGCTCTTAACCCTTCCAGTTTCCCTTTTCCTTACCTATAAAGGGGGATCCCCACAGAGGACTGTTGTAGACTGAGCCAGAGGATAGGCCTGCAGGTACAGTCACAATAATGCATTAAGGATAATCAGAATAAGAGTATATAGCTGGCATTTATTGAGCACTTACTGCCAGCCACAGTTCTAATCACCTCACGTATGCTGACGTCTTCAATCCTCACCACAGAACTATGAGGCGAGTGTGAATATTCTCATTTTACAGATGTGGAAACTGAGGCCCATGACAGTAAAGTACCTTGCCCAAGATCCCACAGCTAGCCCTTAGCAGAGTTGGTATATAGACCCTGTAAGTATGGTGGCAGAGCGCCTGGGTGCAGAACAATGGGCACATCTAGGTAATGTCGATCATAAAAGCAAGCTCAGAACTAGCCTCCCGCAAGATAGGGTTTCAGCGTATGGGGCTCCAGGACAGTGTCTCCAATGTCACTCTTGAACATCAGTGGAGGAGCAATTTCTCTAGCCTCTCTTAGTCATCCGCTTGCAACCTACAAAAAACCAATCATCCCCTGAGCTTCAGTTCTTGCAAGAAGTGGCATTGAAAGAAAAAAAAACCAGAAATGACAAACAAAGAAACTAATTTTTGCAGCAGCTTTTCATTATGCAGTTTAAGAACTCTAGCTCATAAGCAAGTTTTCATATGATCCAGAGCAGAGCACTTGTATACTATGAGGGAAAAGCGCTTCGTGAAACTTCTAAGTCCACAGTACTATTAGATCCACAATCCCTTATCTGAAGCCTTTTTGGCTGAACGTATCTCTGATTTAAAAACTTAATCTTCCTTTTATTTTTTAAAATTTCCGTAGAAATGTTTGGGCAGGGTAGAAAATCATCAGCCCCCAGAAAAACTGAATTTGCATCAGTCCCTTCTCCTCTCACTCTCAAAAGGCTGCTCCATCACTTCTCTGACCCCAGTCAGAGCTGCCCTTGAGGTCAGCAAACCGGCCTCTCTTCTCTTCTCTTCTCTGTCTTGCTTTTCACCTGCCGTGATCATCGATCCTTTGTTCTGCCGTCACAAATTCTTTCACCCTTCCCATGCAATTGCCCTCCGGTGTTTTAACTTTGCCCACCAACTCGATGCAGCATAGCTTCTGCCAGGGGAGCAGCGAGGAGAGCTGGCACACAGACTTATGGCAGTGAAGGCCAAGGGACAGTTGCAGGGGGAGTTGTAAACAGGACTTGGAAACGTAATGCAAACTCACTCCTGTCTTAATATTTACCATTTCATTAAAAAACCCTTCAGAGGCACCCCGCGGGTACCGCTGACCATTCTTAATTCAGGTCAGCGGGGCTATGCATCCCCCTGAAACCATGCGGAGAGCGTTGCGCGTGCCCGCATTTCCCTGGAGGGGGCGCCATAGCTTACATCAGGTTCACCAAGGAGCCCGTGACCCTTGGAACAGGGTGTCACCCCTGCCTCCAGAGTGAGGCCCAGGCTCAGCAGCACAGGACTCTCTCTGCTAACTGTCCCCACCTCAGTCACCACTCCCTGCTTCCCGCCTTAAGCTCTGGTAAAGCGCGTGCACAGCACGTCCCACACTGCCGCCCCTGCTGACCTGGGAGCCCTGTGTACCTTCGTCTCAGGCGCCGCGCCTCCTGCTGCCCAGCTGGCCTTGTCGGCTTTTCACCCTTCTTGGCGCAGGCCTTTCCTCCTCAGGAAAGTCTGTCCCGAATTCACTCTGGGCCCCGGTCTTTCCAAGCTCTTGCCGAATTATATTGGAAATGCCCATCTACAGTTCTACCTCTCCCACTGGGCTTTGCCCAACCCCATCACCACAGTGACCATTACTAACGAAGTAACGTGTCCGTGTAGCCTGGCTCAGCACCTGGCATATTACAGCGTGTGCGAGATATGGACACGTTTGTTCAACTGAGTTGACACAAAACATATTAAACCCTGAACAAGGCATCAAGGAGATTTAACACCGAAAAATAATCATATATGTGTAAAATTTACATATTAATAAGTAGATAAATTCATGTATTACTTCTATAATTTACAATGACTTTTAAATACATTTGAAATAATTATGCACTATAGTATGTATGTAAGATGTCCCTTAGTCAATGCTAGGTTTTTCCCTCTGACTGACTAAAAAGCAGGCTTATGTTCTATTTTTCTAATACATATTAGAATTTATTAGAAAATTTGTTTACTAAGGCTGTTTTAATTATCTTACTTATTTAGTGCAATGTATCTGAACGGGGGTTTTTCTCATTAATGTTGCCCTTTTGCCTACCCTTCCCTTGTCAAGGCGCTGGCCCCATGGTGACATCTCAGTATGAATGCCTTGGCTGTATGCACCCCATATCAACTACCAGCCCTGACTTGGAACCTGTCCTGAGACATGCCATTCAACATTTCAACAACCACACTGATCATTCTCACCTCTTTGCTCTTAAAGAAGTAAAAATGGCTGAGAAACAGGTTTGTTCTTTCAGTTTTTATTTTGCGTAGTATTGTTAAAATTGGTTGGAAATTTATGTTTTAGGTTTCATTACCTGAAATATACCATTGGTCAAAAGAAAACATATCATTCCATGGCTGGTGGTGAGGGAACAGTGGAGACAAAGAAAGAGCTTTCTCTATAGTCAAAGTGATTCGGATACTGCAGTGGGTAAAAGGGGAATGCAGGGCTGATGAGACCCCTTGCTCTGAGACTGCTTTTAATAAATGGGTAGTTAGCATTACATGTTCTTCTTAGAGATGGTGAAATGAAAAGATCTTTCTGGCCTTAAGAAAAAAAAATTTTTCTTTTAAGTATGTATGTATGGATGGATGGATGAATGTATTTCCTCACCCAAGGACATTCTTAGCGATTGTAGTGAGAGGAGAGGAGGGAGGGAGACAGAGAGGAACAGTAACATCGATGTGAGAGAGAAACATCAATTGATTGCCTCTCCCATGCACCCTGACAGGGGAATGAACCCACAACCTACGTATGTGCTCTGACTGGGAATCAAACCCGTGACTTTTCAGTGTACAGGACAATGCCCCACACACCGAACAATACCCACCAAGATGGCCTTAAGGTTTTAAGAAAACTGCATCATCACCGAGCAATATGAGTCAAACATGGCTCCAAAATATTAAATTGTACCCCAAAAATTGGGCACTGATTTCTGAGTACCCTCAAAAATATAGTTTTCATATCATTGGGGGAAAAAAGCAAATACTTATAAATCTGGTCTTTTCATCGACTTGATTCACTAACTCTTTAATGACAGGTTACTGGGTCCCTTGTATCAGTATCTAGTTATGAAGGGACTCACTTTGGTCAGTAACATTCCCTGCTTTTAATAGACCTTCCCACTTGCCTTCATGCAAAACACATGTTCTACTCAAATTTATTTATATCCATCTATCAGGGTATATGACTAGTCCAGAATAAAGCAGAAGAGAACTTACTGCCTGACCATCAAGGAACCTGAAAACCTACCAGTAAATGCCACTCAAGCTCCAAAGTTTTCTTTAACCATTTAGAAGAGCATTATTAATATTTCACAAAATTCAGTAAGACATTATTTTGCTGCTACTTAGCAGAGAAAATATTGCTAGGACTTATGTAAAGAAATAAAGTACTCCACGTATATATTGCTTTTCATTTTCGGATGCATAGGTGTGTGTGTGCACATGCGTATGTGTTTTGAAGGGTGAAAAGTCTTAAAGTGCTCAATATCCATTCACTTGTGACTTTTGCCTAGTAGTTTATACTTTCGTGTATTTGTGATACGCTTGGTAGTATACTAAGTTCCTTATAACACTGTGAATAATGTTTAAACTGTCCTTTAAGTATTCAATTCAAATTTTTTTCAGGTGGTAGCTGGATGGAACTATAAAGTTACTTACACAATTGAGCAAACTAATTGTTCCAGGGAGAATTTTCTGTTCTTAACTCCAGACTGCAAGTTCCTTCTCAATGGTGTAAGTAGGCCAAAATCTAATCATAAAGCTATTGGCATCTGGTGTTCAGTATTTACAGGAGAGGGAATACTCAGCTATATAGGAAAACGTAGTCATTAAAATTTTAGATGACATTCATGAGTTCACAGTCACATTCACCCTGTCACTGGTCAAGCTGCCTTACCCACCTGGTCAAAAAGTCTTGTATATCCTGCAATAAGCATTTACAGATGCACCCAGGGCCTGAGATGAAATGATGCCATGCCAAGTTTGTCTGTTCCTGTGTTCACACTCTCCTGTCTCCCTTTCATCCCCCTGTGCTCAACGTCCTCCCTGTGCTCCTGAGCTCTACGCAGGACAATCCTTAACGTTGGACTTGTCTCTGTTTGTTTACTTTCCCCCCGCCTTCCTTTACCTTTAATAAAGACATCCTGGGCCTCTATCACTTTTTAGGATTATATCTTGTTATCAGTTCCAAAATTACGTTAAAAGAGTAGTTAGTGCCTGTTCCGATGACTAAAGCATGATGACCTTTCCAGGAATATTTGCACTTTATAGAAGGCTGTGCTTTAAGCAAGAGATTGCTGCGAGCACTGTAGTCCATTATTCTAATTCTAAAACTCGATTATATGGGAAGAAAATGAGCTATCTGGACAGTAAGATATTAATTTCAGCATTATTATTAATAGAACAACTTTGGAAATAACTTTTTTCAACATTAGGGACTGTTTAAATAAATTACTGTGTATCCATACAGTAGAATATGTGCAACCAATAATACTATGTTTACAGATATTTAGTGACTTAGTAAAATAGTTATAATATATTAACTAAAACACAAAAAATAGAATTCAAAACTATATGTACAGATTCATTCAAATATATAAAGTAAATGTAAAATGAAAAGTGATGCAGGGGAGCATCTGACATCTTGCTCCCCATCAATTGTTGTTAGTTTGGCTCAAATAAATTCTTACAAAAAATTTGTTTAAGTGATGGAAAAAATATGCCAAAATATGAAGCATAGTTAATTTTCAGTTAGAACAATGGGTGCCTTTTTTGATTCTTTGTACTTTTGGAACTCTTTAATACTTCCCAATGTTTCTAATCAAACCATGTGTTTATTTCATAACTGGGAAGAAAACTTAAAAGGATACTATTAAGAGAATGAGAAGACAACTTACAAAGTGGAAGAAATTATTTACATCATATATCTAATAAGGGTTTAATATGAAGAATATATAAAGAACCCCTACAATGCAACAACAAAAAGATAATCAACCAAATTTTCAGATGGGTGAATGACTTAAAAATAAACATTTCTCTAAAGGAGAGATACTGGTTGGAGCATTATCTCATACACTAAACGGCTGAGGGTTCGCTCCCTGGTCAGGGCACATACCGAGGTTGCACGTTTGATCCCTGGTTGGGCCATTGACAGGAGACAACCTACCAATGTCTCTCTCTCACATTGATGTTTCTCTCTCTCTCACCCTCTCTCTTCCCTCCTTCATCTCTCTCTAAAATCAATGAACGTATCCTTGGGTGAGGATTTAAAAAAGAAATTTTAATAAAATATAAACAAATGGTCAATAAACATATGAAAAGATGTTTTACTGGTCAGGGGAGTACAAATACAAGCCATGATGAAACGCCACCTCACACCTAAAAGATGGCTGTGATTTTTTTTAATTGGAAAATAACTAGTGTTGGTGAGGATGTGGAAAAATTGAAACTTTTGTTCATTGCTGATGAGAATGTGAAATGGTACAGCCACTGTGGAAAATAGTTTGGTAGTTTTTCAAAAAGTTAAACATAGAATTGCCCTATGACCCAGCAATTGCACTTTTAGGTATATACCCAAAAGAATTCAAAACAGGGACTTAAACAGATATTCCATGCCATTATTCATTGCTGCATTATTCACCATAGCCAAAAAGTGGAAACAACCCAAATGTCCATCAACAGATGAATGAAAAAACAAAAAGTGATATATATATATATTTACATTTATATTTATAGATAAAATAATGAAATATTCTTTAGCCATGAAATTCTGACATGTGCTACAACATAGATGAGCCTTGAAAACATTATGCTAAATGAAATTAGCCAGACACAAAAAGACAAATACTGTATGATTCCACTTATATGAAATATCTAACATATATGAATGTATAGAAATAAAAGTAGATCAGAGTTTACCAAAGACTGAGAGGAGGGAAAATGGGAGTATATTGCTTACTGGGTACAGAATTTATGTTTGGGGTGATTAAAACTATTGGATATAGATAGTGGTGATGGCTGCAACGTATTTAATGTAACTGAATTATACACTTAAAAATGTTTAAAATGACAAATTTTATGTTACATATGTTTCACCATAATAAAAAAATAATAAACAGGAGAGAGAGAAACCCTCTAAAAAATGTATGCTCTCGCTGCTATATAACTTTGTTAATTTGAGTCAACTCTGGCCTTTTAAGCATCTATCAACACCTTCTGGTTTTTGTTTTTTAGTTATTTCAGATTATGTAGGCTTAAATATTACCTAACTTGAATCTCTCTGCATTTATTTGTAAGGCCTCAACTTCCTGGTTTTCTCTTTGCAACACAGAGAGATGCAAGGGCTGGTTGGAGTCACAAAGCCAACAGATTTTTGGAATCACTTCTCTGAGCTCCCACTTCCTTATTTGTAAAATAGGGAGGAATCATAGCACCTATCTCACAGCTGTTAAATAATTAAAGGACATAAAATGTAAATTACCCTGTCTGCAATTGGTAATTTTGAAGGCCTTGCTATTCGGTACTTGGTCCCTGAACCAGGAGCATCAGCATCACCAGGGAGCTTGTTGGAAAAGCAAAATCTTGAATTCCACCCCAGGCCTACTGGGACTCCGTATTTAACAAGATTCTCAGGTGATTCATTTGCACTTTAAGTTTGGAAAAGCACTGATTTAAGTTCTCAGGCCATGCTGTTTATTAGAATCACTTCACCAGCTTTGAAATAATTATTCCCAGGCCATTCCCCAGATATTATGACTTACTTGGTCAGGGGCAGGCTTTTGGAGTCAGAATAAAAACTTGTCAGTGAATCAAATATGCTGATAGAATTGAGAACCTCAAGGATACTTCCAGCATCCTTCTCCCCATCCAAAATTAAGATATGATAAGTGTGGTATTTCTTGTATCTTTAACATCTTATGACATTTATTTTTTATATACATATACATATATGTATATATGCATATATACACATCCATATATATACACATACATATATACATATATATACATACATATATATACATATATATATTTCCTTATCAGAAATAAAGATTGATAGAAAACTTAAAGGCAATGCAGAAACAAAAAAAATAATATTGAATCACATACTCAAATACCCAAAGATATGTTAGTGTATTTCCCTCTTATCTTTTTGTTTGGGGGGGAGGGCGAGAGTTTATATAGATAATTTGTGGTGATCTTTTTCCTGTTAATAGTTGTAATTATTTCACATGCTGCCTTTTTACCTAAGCATTTTCCTATGTCATTAAAACTCTTGATAAACTTTCTCTTAAGTAACTGTGTAATATCATATTAAAGGATATTGTTTTTTGAATAACTATAGTTAGACATTTGGGTTGTTTCCATTTTTTATTATAATTAACAACTCACCTAATATTCTTGAGAATAAAGCTATTTCTGTATTTGGTATATTTCCCCATTTTCATACATTTGTTAGAAATTTATGAATTTAATTTATGAATTGTTTTCTATGTCCTGTGCCCATTTCTTTTTGGGATAAATCTTAATGATTTGGAAAATGGTATTGATTATTAAAGGTATCAGTGCTTTATCATATTGTCTCAGTTTAATTTTAGTTTTCATTGTGGTATTTCTGACTTACAAATAGATTTTGCTTTTAGGCAGCCAAATCTAACAGTATTTTCCTTTTGAATTCTTCCACACTTTGCTGTCATCTTTCTTCCCCCTAATTTGTCTATGGTCAGTATTTTTAAACATAGCTTTTGAAACTATGTGGGATTAATTTTAATATATCTTGTGAAGTTTCTAAATTGAGTTTTATTTCAAGAGGATAACAAGATATTTCAACATTCTTCCCTTATATATAAATTTGTCACATTTATCCCATAATAGTTTCTCATGAAAAGCCTGTTCTCTATATTTGTATCACCATGTTTTAACAGCCATAGCTTCATAGTAGGTTTAAATTTGTGATTTACTATTCTAGTGTTTATATCCTCAAAAACCAACCTTAGAAGAAGTTTATAAGAAAAACATTGTCACATAGATTGGAATTGCACTACATTTCTAAATTAATTTGAGGAGAATTGGCATATAAACTATATTTAGTCTTTTCAGTCAAGAACTTGGTATACACCTCTACTTAGTCAAGTTTTATATTACTTTCTAAAGGTGGTGTCTTTATTTATATATATTCAGAACATTGCTCACCAGTTATTTCTAGTTTTGGGGGGCATGTGTACTTATTTCTGGTTATTGCACTTAGGAATTAAATCTTATGATTTTTTAAATTTTAGTCTCTTTTAAATGTTAATTTCTACATAAATGTATCAATTTTGATACATTCAACCTCTATTTAGCAAGTGAATACTTTAACTCTCTCACAGCTTTGCATGAACTCTTTTGATTGTTCTAAGTATAAACTAAAAAGATATTATCTCATCTCTTTTCCAGTGCTTATTTTTTGTTCTGTGCCTCAGTGAATTGGCCCAAATGTCCAGAGATATTTCACACAAATTTGTGTTTTAGTCCTGATTTTATTGGGAAAGCCTCTAGAGTTTCATTATTATTAATATTTGCTGTGGGTTCCAGGTAGGCATTTGTGTGTCATGTTAAGAAGCATCATTACATTCCTGCTTTTAAAGAGGTTTGTTTTGTTTTTAAATAAGAACTGTGTGTTAGCAGACTAAGATACAGGAAACAGACTGACTGCTCTCAGAGGGGAGGTAGGTTGGGTGAAAGAGATGAAAGGA